AAACTGCGCGTTTGTAACATCGTTTTTCATTGGATAAACGTGACGTTGATATAATCTATATACGCCACAACATTCGATTGATTAAGTGATTATTTTTATCTCAAAAAAGGGAAGTAATATAAATTCGTTATAAATCTGCTTGACGTGTTATATGGTCGTATATAAACAGTTATTTGCAATATAACCATCGCTTTACGGCTAGTGTTATAAATATAAACAATCGTTAATGTAGAACCATATACATGTAACATGCTAAAATTTATATAACTAATACAAATATTTGTTTCGACTGTTCCGTTTCATTGAAGAACAGCTATATGACAGTGAAAGAAGAAACTTATACCATTTAAACTGCTTTACACGCTGGTCTATTGTATCTTTTATTTTTCATAAAAATACATGTACATAGTACGCGTCCGTTGTAATTGAAAAAAAAACTGTTTTTGTAATCAATGTTATAGGAAACAATCATGAAAGAAATAATCTTCCAAAAAAAAAAATTTTTTTTGAATGACCATTTTCCTCTATCTTGAATTGACGTCATAATAATTATCATCTTAAAGTTTATAAATGAGAGAAATATTGATCAAAGAAGAAGAAATGATAATAATAATAATAATAATAATAATAATAATAATAATAATAATAATAATAATAATAATAATAATAATAATAATAATAAGAAGAAGAAGAAGAAGAAGAAGAAGAAGAAATAACAATAAGAAGAAGAAGAAGAAAAAGAAGAAGAAGAAGAAGAAATAACAATAATAATAATAATAATAATAATAATAAATAATAATAATAATAATAATAATAATAAGAAGAAGAAGAAGAAGAAGAAGAAGAAGAAGAAGAAGAAGAAGAAGAAGAAGAAGAAAATAATAATAAGAATAATAATAATAGTAATAATAATAATAATAAGAAGAATAAGAAGGAATAACAACAATAATAATAATAATAATAATAATAATAATAATAATTATAAAAATAATAATAATAATAATAAGAAGAAGAAGAAGAAGAAGAAGAGGAAGAAGAAAAAAAAACACTCGAAAGGAACGCTGTATTTTTTCAGTAGCAGACGGCAGCTTGTCCGTCTACCTTCAGAATATTTGAAACTCTCGTGGGCAAAAAACCCGCACGCACTCAATACTATAAATCGATAACAAAGACTAAAGTCAAACACGCGGAGAATACGTACGCCGTTCTTAGGATAGCCTTCAAAATGTAAGATATATTTTATTCTAAATTATTTCCGATCAGATTACGAGTTCTATTGTTTTACATATTTAATAGCGATTTGGCGGAGATGTTATCAATTATTCTGTTTTTCTATTGTTATACAGTAAAATATTGTCTCCCAAAACAAAATAGTTTTGAAAAAAAGTTCATGAATATTTTGTGAAATAAATAAAAAAGGATTAATACAGACTTAAACATATATAAAATGTCGTTGATGACGCATAAATTGGACAAAAATGGGTAAGTTTGTTTTTTTTCTGTGAAAACTGGTGCATGAAAAAATATCTCACTTAAATGATTATATTTCACAGAGTGCAATATCCGTTACGGGAAAACAGGCCAATATCCGTTACGGGCCAACAGCTATATTTCCACACGTGTGATACACATTCGCTGTTCACAAAATTATTTTATGCTACATTTGTAAAATATTAAAGGCGCATTGACCCTTAGAAATCAATTTGCTTTTTGCTCTGTAGAATGTCAATTCTATCTGTTATTTAATGGAACACGTTGAATTAAGTGTCATTATGACTGAGAGATATTCAAATGTTTTATTTGTTAAGAGACCCGCCGTCTTAACCATTGAAAGCCCAACAAAATTGAAGCAGTGTTACGGGGTTTTCTTGACTTGTAATAACTGAGAGCTTTTTAGTTTGAAAAGTTTTAATCAAATGATTCGTTGCAATGAATTCATATGTCAGTAAAGATAATATTATATATATTTTTTGACCTAAAGAAATAACCATAAAAGCTGAACGGCTGGCGAACTTTGACATTTTTTATAATCGTTTTTAATACTATGTCATTGAATTTAATCCCTACAAAGGCGTGAGAGTTTTTCAACCTTGGTTTTGAGACTAATACATTCAGCTTAATCTGTATAAATACTTTAAACAAGGTCAAGAACAACAGGAACAACAACAACAGTATAATAATAACAATAATAATTATAACACTAGAATATTAGACTATAATGAATAAAGATAATAATTGACAATATTGTATCCAACACACGGGGGCTGTTATTTTTTCTGTTAATAACGTATGAACACATGCGCCATGTACGAATTCCAGTTATTTAGCTGCCAAATTCTCATGAAATGTATACAATACTAGCAGGTATCGCAGTTGTTTTGCTGTCAAATTTACATTAAGTGTATACATTACGAGCAGGTGTTGCAGTTATTTTGCTGTCAAATTTTCATAATGTGTATACAGTACGAGTATACAGTACGAATGTGTATTGCAGTTATTTTGTTGTCAAATTCACATGAAGTGTATGCAGTACGAGTAGGTATTGCAGTTATATTGCTGTCAAATACTCATTGAGTGTATATATAAAAAGCAGGTATTGCAGTTATATTGCTGTAAATTCTCATTTTAGTGTATACAGTACGAGTAGGTATTGCAATAATTTTGCTGTCAATTTCTCGTGAAGTGTATGCAGAAAGAGAAGGTATTGCCGTTATTTTCATGTCAAATTCTCATTAAGTGTATATAGTGCGAGTAGGTATGCAATTATTTTCCTGTCAAATTCTCATGAAGGGTATACAGTACGAGTTAGTATTGGAGTTATTTTGCTGTCAAATGTGCATGGAGTGTGTGTGTTATGAGGCGGTATTGCAGTTATTTTACTGTCAACTAACTTGTAAGTATTGTCGACTTTTAACTGTCAACTGCGCATACATGCAGTGTATGCGTAATGCGTAATAAGTTATATTGCTGTCAACAACACATGCAGTATATACGTTATTTAGTTAGTTTGCTGTTGATAACGCAATAAGTATATTTGTTATGAGTATTTTTTTCGGTAATTCTGTGCGGTTTTCAAGTTTTGAGCAGATATTGCAGTAATTGTTACTGTCAAGAGCACATGCAGTTAACTGGTTGAAATCATTCATGACACCCATCACAAGTTTTCGACCATTTTCTTTTTCGTCAAACTACGAATAGTGGACGATGTGACATATCACGAAATATATTCCATATTCATCAAATTTGTTACTTTGAAAAAGAGAAAACAATTTCATTATCTTAAGTGCTTTGATTTAGATATAAATATTATTCTTGTTTTGAACCATTCATTGGTTGAAGCACAATAGAGAAGAACGTCTTTGATTCTAGGATAAGAAAATTAGAAACATTGATGAATATAATCATCAAAACATTTAAAATAATTGATAATTAAATAGTATCATAATTCATTAACTAATGTTGCAAATTTAAAGGTTGAAATTATATTTTGTCCAATGAGTTCATCCCATTTTTCAAATTCTGCTGTTTATTTAGTTTTTATGACCCCGCTAACTTAGTGTATCATATTCGCTGTGTGTAAATTTTCAAAACAAAATTTCAACAAAAAATTTCAACTACTATGTTGGTTAGTGTATGTGAAAGGCACATTATGCCTCAGAAAAACATATCAATCAAATTCTTTAGAAATGTCAAACATGTATTAAATAATGTTTTAATAATTGATTCAGAGCATGTTAGATGTTTAACTGCTTAAAAAGTGGCGTTGAATGTGCAGTTATGTGTCGTAAACGTAGCAAAAGGTAAACGAAGAAGTATTTTGACTTCCATACAAAATACTGATTCACTATAATTATACAAATTACCAACAGAGCAAAAGAATCAACGATAGTTAATCTATATGGCAATGAGTCTGTATATAAAAGGTAACAATATATCAAATACAGAAAGTGTTTAAGAAATAAAATTGATAGCATTTCTGAGGCATAATGGACCTTTAAATAATTCATTTAAATCTGTCACCCAGATATGTCTAATTTCATTTATGATAACTAACAAACACTAATCTATACATAAAAGCAATCGTGTGCCCATTTTATAGTCATAAATGAGTTGACCTTTTTATACCACATGAAAGAAAACCATTTAACTTGGTTTAAATTATTACCTATCATCTAACATTTTACTTCATTCATTTCGCGTTATTTTTATTTGACATGATTGACATAGGCATCTTTTACCTCGGATGTTTTGCCTCATTAACTACTACCCAGTAAAACTAGATCAAGAGGTCATTCACCAAACTGACTTTGATAACAAGTTATAATTATATTTTGTACTTTTAAGATTTTTAATCAATTAATTAATTTGTTAATTGATTGATTTATTGTTTAATTTGTTTATTGGATAAGTGTTTTTCTATGAATCATCGAGTGGTATGCAGATAAATATTTCATGAGTGGTGGTAGCCACTTCATACCACAAGATGAAATTGAATCTTGTATTCATAGAAAAAAAACTTGAATTTTCTTATAATTACATGTATATGCATTTTTCTCTTTTTTTTATCATTACAAATTGAAAAGCGTCCGCTTAAATTTTGTATATTGGCTATTTAGAAGAAAGTAGTCCGGCAAGACACTAATGAAACTCCTCGTCCACAAATAGTGATAATATATATATAATAATTACTTTTATCATCAATTTTCATACTTTTGTATCGATATCAATTTGTAACGACCTATACTTATAATACCACGAAATAACACGTACACCATTAAAGTTTTGAAAATTATTTATATTTTGCAGACGGACTGTGAACGCCATTTGTAATCAAATTCTATTTTAAAAACAACTAATTCGTACATGTCTTCAAGTATAAATTACATAATTAGTAACTTGAGAAGGTCGATTCCTATAGATCTACGACCGAATTTACAAAAATGAAAAACCTTGGCCTTTGAAATTAACGTTTGCTTTGTTTAGAAACGAAAGCGGGACGGTAAACAAACGAATGTTTAGTGTATTTGAAGTGTAACTATTCATCATGTATACATGTATATCTGAGGTGCTTTAAAAAAGGGATAGCTGTGGCGTTTTTTTTTTGCAAAGATTCCTTGCGGTGAGATGAGAAAAAATGGAGATATATAATTATTTGTGATATGTGATCCGATAATAAAACTTTATAGATAGATAAATCGGTAAACAAATTGAGACGTTTATGCAATGATTGACGTTCGGTCTATGGAATTGTGTCATTAAACAAATATATTAACACTATGTGGACTCGTCTGTTACACTTAACTTTTAAAACGAGGTTTATAGTCTCTAAACAAAAGTTTGATATTTAATTGTGCAAAAATAATTAAATAAAAATAATTTGAAACCAACAAAAACTTGCAAAAATGTCTGACAGTCCAAGGAATCTTAAAAGACGGATGTCGAGTCTTAAACAGTGGCAAGAAGGACTGGAGTAAGTTTTCATATTAATTATCATCCGGGAACTTTATTAATGTCGTCTGCTTTAAAAAAATCTTTCGTTGTCGATAATAGAATGTTCAGAAATGCACCATCGAAAATTTAGTGTCGACTCCTTGTAATGGTTTCGTTGCCGATAATGCAGTCTAATTAAAACAATTGTTGTTTGGTCAAGGTCTTCCCTCGCGAGGCTTATCATAATTAATATCATCAGAATATACAAGTGTAAATTGGAACGATTTGTTATTATTAATTCCGATGTAAACAACAGATAAGCCATCTTGTCTGGCGATTAATGAGCCTGTTGATTGGAAAAACGTTGTTATATTACAGCATGCCTTTTATATTAAGGGTACTACTTTTTTATGGTGATCAGTAAATCTATCAATTATTAGAACACATTTTTTATGCATTTAGGGAACTACTTTCTTCCGGGATGGAGGACTTTGAGGAGAAGTTGTTTACATTCCTGTGCGATCAAAATGAGCTTGTATCGATGGACAGATTTAAAAATGTAAGTATTATCTCTTTGAAACAAGATGTATCTTCGTTATAAACTCTACGGGGCATGCTTAGTTAACTTCTAGATATTATAGTCTGTTTCGTTTTCTCTTAAACAAGTTAATTGGGCAATTGAAGATTATTTTTTCATTATACACCATGTGTTATTACGTTAAAAATATCGTATCTGGATTGATTTCTTTTAAATGGTTGAATGTACAATGATCAGGGAACGCATGTTGTGTTTTTTGCTTTGATATAAGGAATATCATATGTATTTAACATAATTGTTAATTCGAGCGCAATTTTAAATCTAAATAATAAACTCTGACCGAAAATGCAACTTAATTACATGTACTACTTTACTGTGAACTGGCATTTATTTGCAATGATGTAATTTAACAACGTTTATGAAAAGACATGTGTTAAACAATAGTAATAAGATTATAAATTACATGAAAACAAGCGAAGACATTCAGGCCGCATAGTTTAATTGGTTAAATAGCGAAACTTGTAGTCTTAACATTGTGGATTCGAATCCCGAGCTGGCCACTAAAATTACTAATCAGTCTTACAAATCGAGGTCCCGTGTATGAGTTCTTGAAAACTTGGCACGCTAAGGAACCAGAAGCAGCTTCTTGAATTGGGGCATCCCTCTGTATCTTGTACTATCTTCCAAAAATCTAAAATTACTAATACTCTTCTGGAGGACTCGCCCATATGGGCAACTGGTAGCGAAAGTATAGCTAAACTCTAATACAGCAAAAAAGACATTCAGATTTCGCTTATTGCCTTGTCTATAAATCGCCAAAATATCATATCTTTATAATGCAAGAACCTGTTTTGTCAAAGAAAATAAAAGCCAAAATTAATTGCCCTACAAAATGACGATTCACTCTGACAATGAATATATTTTCACTTAAAAATTATATCTTTATTAATTTTCTTTGTTTGGTATCAAATATTGTAAATAAACGTATTATGCATTCTTATTTTATTTGCCTTTTCTAATCTTTATATTTATAAACAATAAATTACAGAAGAAGGTTAATAAATGTGGATATAAAATGACCATATTAGACCAGACAGTTTCATCATGTTACATTAGTGAAAAAAATAAAACAAAGAGTGTGTTTTTTCTAAGTTTATTTAGGGTCCACCTGCCTTTTCAGGCACTGAGAGTATGGACCCCGGACATGTCACCATACAATTCTAAATAGTATTGAATAGTATTGCCAAATAGTGACCTATTAATTTTGATTCCAGTAATTCACTGAATGCGACTAAATGTTTTTTTTTTCTACTTGATAAACAATATGTATGACTAAGTGATGCAAGGGAGGCCAATGAGACCATTATATTATCATGCGAAAATGTTGTTGAAGTTGCCAAATTAAAAATTAAAAAAAAAAAAAAAAAAACCATCTATACCGGACCCTTTAAAATCATATCGGACTATCATGTCAAATTTCAAAACACCCCCACTTTTTTCAAGATAAAGATCGTGACATATTATACTTAATAGCCTTATAAGATGCCTTACAGATAGACACAGAACTAATACTAGTATATTTAGTGTCATATAACACTTTGTTATTTTATAGTGTTATAGTATTACTCAATCTTATAAGTAAATATCAAATATTACATATCTAAATCATTTGTAACAAAATACTGTCTAACTGCCCAAGGTGTTCTTATGACACAGTAGAAATAACAAATGATAGCCCAGGGTTTTATTATCACAAAGCATAAAGGAGCGAATTTGATTGGCCTTTTTATTTAAACAAAGCACTTTGTTCTGTATTTTCACGTTGGGTAGACACTTTTAGTTAATGTGGCGGTCATTGTTGGGTGGTCGTCTTAAGCGGCTTATAGATGAAAATAAAAGCCCGAAAACGAGGCCCGGTGTAAATAAAAGGATAAAAAAATCCGCATTTTTCATTTCCGGGTACATTTTTTAAAGATCTTGTTAAAGTAATCCATATCTTACATGTCTTATTTTGTTATGAAACAGGTTGATTCGTTTGGAAAGCATACACTCTAGCTTATAGAAACAATGCAAGTTTTGAACAAGTCAAGTGGAAACATAAGGGACACACATCCACACATAATTTGACAAAGCCTTATACATCGTACATACTCAACATTTTCTAACAAGGAAATTGTTTAAATAATAGATTATCTAATTGAACAATCTTTGACGTCATTTTATTTTTTGGCGTAACCCGTTTCAGTTTGTTTGCCCTCAAAATATAGTACTTTATCACGGAATGTAAGACAGCATAGTATTTAACCATGACCGCATAAAGTACTGCATAGTATATAACTACAGAATATAGTTCATGACCACATAAAGTACTACATAGTATATAACTACAGAATATAGTTCATGACCACATAAAGTACTACATAGTATATAACTACAGAATATAGTTCATGACCACATAAAGTACTACATAGTATATAACTACAGAATATAGTTCATGACCACATAAAGTACTACATAGTATATAACTACAGAATATTGCGGGCTTTACAATTCGCTCAACACGTGAAGGAAATATTCATTTTTTTAGTACAAAATATTGCCGAGATTTTAATATTGCCATATTCATACAATATTTAAATTTCATTCATCATTTATATCATTATTATCTTTTGTAAATCTGTTTTCAAATGTCGGTGCAGTGAAGTAGACAATCATCGTAACAGTAAAGTAGGCCCTACTCTTGTGTGGCTGTCTCGATTCCGACCTTTTTAATGTCACTCGTATATTTTAATTATTCTTTTTATTTTGAATGCCTGTAGAAAGATATTTCTGATGTTTTTTAACGTAACACTAGAAAAACAATAAAAATCTTTACAGTTTGAGTCAGTATTATGCGAAATAAAAGTAACTGTTGATTATTTTTTACACATCGCTTAAATTTCTTTGAAGATTAATTACTTTTGAAGGGGGTTAATTACCAGGTAACAAGTGATAATTGAAAAACTTTATTTTCAAACTTTCATTACCAGGTTACATGTGATGATTGCAACAATCAATCTTTAAAAACAAATAGAATTTGAATGTATATTTTGTACGTGCGCGGTCTTTAACTACAGTCCATTGTATGTGTAATAAGAAAATGATTCTGAAGATGATAGATATAAATACAATGTAAATCTATCTTCTTTATTAACATTTATAAATGAAATTGAAAATATACAAGACCTTTCGTTGAAAAAAATGAAAATATACATATGACAAATAAATCATTTGACGGGAATTGTGAAGGATAACTATGAAAAAATTCTGTGTCAAGATAAAAAATAATATAGCTGTTCTGTATGCCAATAAAAGTTTCTTCCTTGCCAATATAATGAATTCATCTATGTATGAACGCTTTTTTCAATGATCTGAAAATACATTTAATACACTAATTAGTAGAATACTACATTTATACTAATATTCAGGTAATCAAATAAAAAATGTTCAAATCATTTGGAAATAATTCACAGAAAAAAGACAAATTTCAAACATGAATTTCTTTAAAAGTTTTTTAAGCAATTAAGAAACATTTTTTTTTGCATTTTAACCATTAAACCATGTAGAAAATAATTATCTTAATCTGAATCGCGGTAATAATTTGTGCTTGAAGTAAAAGGGCGCCAAAGTGTAGAGAGTATGCCTAAACAATAGGCGAATATTTTATAAATTAGGTACTATTTTATCTTAGCGTTGCAGCGTTCTATCGGAATATTTTCATAACCACAGAATATAGTATAAAACCAAAGAATGTAGTACAACATAGTATATAACCACAGAATATAGTTCGTGGCCACAGAGTGTAGTACTACATAGTATATAACCAAAGAATATAGTTCGTGGCTACAGAATGTAGTACAACATAGTATATAACCAAAGAATATAGTTCATGACCAAAGAATGTAGTACAACATAGTATATAACCAAAGAATATAGTTCGTGACCACAGAGTGTAGTACTACATAGTATATAACCACAGAATATAGTATAAAACCAAAGAATGTAGAACAACATAGTATATAACCACAGAATATAGTTCGTGGCCACAGAGTGTAGTACTACATAGTATATAACCACAGAATATAGTTCATGACCAAAGAATGTAGTACAACATAGTATATAACCAAAGAATATAGTTCGTGACCAAAGAATGTAGTACAACATAGTATACAACCACAGAATATAGTTCATGACCAAAGAATGTAGTACAACATAGTATATAACCAAAGAATATAGTTCGTGACCAAAGAATGTAGTACAACATAGTATATAACCAAAGAATATAGTTCGTGGCCACAGAATGTAGTACAACACAGTATATAACCACAGAATATAGTTCATGACCAAAGAATGTAGTACAACATAGTTTTATAACAACAGAATATAGTTCGTGGCCACAGAATGTAGTACAACACAGTATATAACCACAGAATATAGTTCATGACCAAAGAATGTAGTACAACATAGTATATAACCACAGAATATAGTTCATGACCAAAGAATGTAGTACAACATAGTATATAACCAAAGAATATAGTTCGTGGCCACAGAATGTAGTACAACACAGTATATAACCACAGAATATAGTTCATGACCAAAGAATGTAGTACAACATAGTATATAACCACAGAATATAGTATAAAACCACAGAATGTAGAACAACATAGTATATAACCAAAGAATATAGTTCGTGGTCACAGAATGTAGAACAACATAGTATATAACCAAAGAATATAGTTCGTGGCCACAGAATGTAGTACAACATAGTATATAACCAAAGAATATAGTTCGTGGTCACAGAATGTAGTACAACATAGTATATAACCACAGAATATAGTTCGTGACCAAAGAATGTAGTACAACATAGTATATAACCAAAGAATATAGTTCGTGACCAAAGAATGTAGTACAACATAGTATATAACCACAGAATATAGTTCATGACCAAAGAATGTAGTACAACATAGTATATAACCAAAGAATATAGTTCGTGACCAAAGAATGAAGTACAACATAGTATATAACCACAGAATATAGTTCATGACCAAAGAATGTAGTACAACATAGTATATAACCAAAGAATATAGTTCGTGGCCACAGAATGTAGTACAACACAGTATATAACCAAAGAATATAGTTCGTGACCAAAGAATGTAGTATAACATAGTATATAACCAAAGAATATAGTTCATGACCACAGAATGTAGAACAACATAGTATATAACCAAAGAATATAGTTCGTGGCCACAGAATGTAGAACAACATAGTATATAACCAAAGAATATAGTTCGTGGCCACAGAATGTAGTACAACATAGTATATAACCACAGAATATAGTTCATGACCACAGAATGTAGAACAACATAGTATATAACCACAGGATATAGTTCGTGACCAAAGAATGTAGTACACATAGTATATAACCAAAGAATATAGTTCGTGGCCACAGAGTGTAGTACTACATAGTATATAACCAAAGAATATAGTTCATGACCACAGAATGTAGAACAACATAGTATATAACCAAAGAATATAGTTCGTGGCCAAAGAATGTAGTACAACACAGTATATAACCACAGAATATAGTTCGTGGCCACAGAATGTAGTACAACACAGTATATAACCACAGAATATAGTTCGTGACCACAGAATGTAGAACAACACAGTATATAACAAAGAATATAGTTCGTGACCAAAGAATGTAGTACAACACAGTATATAACCAAAGAATATAGTTCGTGGCCACAGAATGTAGTACAACATAGTATATAACCAAAGAATATAGTTCGTGGCCACAGAATGTAGAACAACATAGTATATAACCAAGAATATAGTTCGTGGCCACAGAATGTAGTACAACATAGTAAATAACCACAGAATATAGTTCGTGGCCAAAGAATGTAGTACAACACAGTATATAACCACAGAATATAGTTCGTGGCCACAGAATGTAGAACAACATAGTATATAACCAAAGAATATAGTTCGTGGCCACAGAATGTAGTACAACATAGTATATAACTACAGAATATAGTTCGTGCCACAGAATGTAGTACAACATAGTATATAACCACAGGATATAGTTCGAGGCCACATAATGTAGTACAACATAGTATATAACCACAGGATATAGTTCGTGACCAAAGATTGTAGTACATAACCAGGGAATGTAGTAAATACAACATCGTATTTAATGAAAGAATATGTAGTACAACATAATATGTATCATAGAATGTAGTACAAAACCACGGATTTAAGTACCACATAGTATATAACCACAGAATGTAGTACAGCATAGTACAAAAAGTTACAAGGAAACAAGACCGTGACCTATATTGCTGTCATTGTTCAGGCATTTCGTTACATAAATACTGCAACCTGTAAAATGACATATCCCATTTCTTTGCTTTTTAAGAAATTGAATCTAGGCGACGATAAGTTAATGTTTTCAAACATGCCACAGGAACATTCAAGTCTTTAATGGCTAACATATTATGCTAACTTTGTCATTTGATAGCTTTAACTGTCATAAATCAAACGGCTAAAACAGCAGTGGAACGTTTAGACAGCATTGCAAAATAGTTATAAAACATGTAATATATACGTATAAATCATACAGATGTTTAAGTCTTTGTATACTCACGTGACTTTTTATTGTTTAAATGTCCATATTGCTGCTATCCTAGCCATATACTGTATTACAAATTATTACGGCGTTCCGTTTAGGCCATAGTAACGTAATTCCATTCTCTCAACTCATACTTCTTTACACTTACAATAATTCAAGTATTTCCCGAAGAGAGTACATACATTATACAACATACTTAGAAATACGATATTTAGACTGTAGGGATCAATACAGTACCCTCTTCAGTTCATTAATGCTTTTTACATACGAAAAATGCTAAACATTTTTAATTTCTACATCACTAGGGCACGTGCTTTACTAGGTTCGATTCCTTTTACAATTAATTTATGTGATAATATTAAAATCTTAATTGTCTGAAACAACTTTTTATCTTTTTCAATATTAAACAAAGTTCGTAAATTCGTATGCAATTTTGTCTATTTATCTAACCAGTTTATTACACATGACTTCTTACATTTTAAAAAAGCTTTTGGAGGAAACCGGCTTAAGAGATAATGACTTCCGGTTGAATGAGACAATGAAAAAATTCCGTGCTGTTCTAGAGAGGCAGTTGCACGATGAGCACGAGCTAAGAGGGATGATGGACAAGGACACCTTTTTAGAGTAAGTAGGAAAACTATAAACAATCCCTATATACATGTATTTCCGAGAGTTACATCTTTGTCCCAGCTGGCCATTTATATGGTGGCTGATTTGGTACATTATGTGCGTTGCGTTGTCGATAGCGACAACACAACCTATATCGTTATCTCTTTTTCGTCCTGTCGCTAGCAAAACGCATCAAATGGCGCGTTGTCGCACTGTCGTTTTGTCCTCCTGTTGCTAACAAAGCACGCCAAACGGCGCGTTGTCGTGCGGCGAGTTGCCGCCATGTCGCCCTGTCCCTTGGCTTATATAAATACAAATAGTCAATCCTTCGATTTTAGCCGAGCGACAATGTGACATCGCGACAACACGCCACACGACAACGCGCCGTTTGGCGTGCAAGGTTAGCGACAGGAGGACAAGACGAAAGCGCTTTGTCGTGCTGTCGCTATTGACAACATGACGCACAAAAGTGCTCCAAATCAGCCACCATACATTTATAACCTCATATCGACAAAAACTAGCTGTACCTCAGATTTATGATATTGCTAAAAAATTCAATTTAAATGGGTAAAGTAATAATATGTTTATAGGTATTTCATGGACAAGATATTCTACCCCATCGACATTTTATGCAATCTTTTTCTCCAATTTCATTTCGGCTATTAAATCTTTTCGTTGAATAAATTTGCAGTTTACTCTTCTAAACCACACACAAATAATTATTATGTCCTCGATTTCAATATTATAATTGGATATCATTTTCATTTTTAAAAATCTGAATCCGTGTGTAAATTTAAGTCTTGCAGAACTATTTATCTCGCAAACTGCGCAAATATTTTGTCTGTATTTTTTAATCGTTTCTCAAAAATAATTCCTTTTTCTGCTAAAAGCCGATCTAAACTCTTAGGTACATTTATAAACAAGGTATAATTAATCCGACGTTATCCTATTAAATGCTAAATTATGTTAGAGACTCGAGCATAATTAAGTAGAATTATAAAATATACTTGTAAAGCATTAAGGTATATTTGTGGCAGACATGATTTTGTTTATTTGTTACCTTTTTGTCTGAAAAGCATGCAAGCAATAAGTTGTCTTCCCAGCTGCTATATGTACCTGAAAAAGACACGGAACCATCCTGATGTTGTTATTCAGCTGTTCTATTTGTCTTATATGTGCTACATACGAAAGATACGGGAGCCATCCCAATGTTATGTATTCATTTGTTCCCGGTTTTTGTTAATTAAGCAGTCATGCTATAAATTAATGAAACCAAGGAGATTAATTATTAGTGTATATATGTATGTAATGAAACGAGAGCCATCCTAATAATATGCATTGGTGCCTACATAAGAAACGTGAGCCATCTTGAAGTTATTGATTCATTTGCTCCCGTTCTTGATAATTTAACATACGCATGCTACCCATACCAATGAAACGGGAACCATTCCGATGTATTTTAATCATTTGGTCCCGGTTTTAAAAAATTAGCAGTCTTGCTACGTACTAAATAAAATAAAGTTTTCCAGAAGTTTTATTTATGTGTTCACTTTGTTAATTAAGAATACGAGCTACCTATCAATGAAAAGTAGTCATTGAGGGAAGAACTGAAGAATTATAAAAAGTCTCGCAAAGAATGTGTTTTACGCTTCCGTACAAATCAAGGTAGCCATGACTGAAGATATCTAAAATAACGTTCATTTAAGGACAACTCCTTGTGTTGAAAAGGAAGACGACCTACATATCCTATAAACCATTTCCCGAGCAATTTGATATTATTATAAAGAAACGAATTTTTCAAATTATCAACATGAAAAGACCACACATAGGTTACACTTTAATGTTTCATAGTTTGTCTTCTATTTCAAGTAAATAACCGTCCTGCTGTATAACAAGATATCTTTATTGTGAAAGAACACTTAAAAAAGAGGTTATGTTACGTAAAAGGTAGATTTAAATGACACTATACCAAGCAATTTAATGCGAAATTTATCATTCTTTTTAATGAGGTGGGCAATCAAATGTCAGACGGTCAGACAAAGGTGTACGTCACCGGGATTTATATTATTTTTAATACCCATAAAACCAGTAACCACACCAACAAGCTTCTTTCTCCTTTTTGGATTATTTCAGGGAGGAAGCTGGATATGGAACGTGGTGGTTTTATCAGATGCCCGTTTCGTGCTGAAAAATGACGGAAGGAACCTGAGGTCTTCACAACTTTAAATGGCGAAAGGTCGCCAAATATTATTGCCTTTACTGTGTGGGGGTGAATGTAAAACCCCAATTTAAAAAACAAAAAAAATAAAAATGGCATACACTTTAATTCCACCATGTGTGATTATTAAAAACTAAATCTCATGGGTATATTAACCTGGTCCCCGCCACTCGATCAGTGGGGGCGTGGTGGTACAGTTCTATTTGATATGTTCCGAATAGCTCCAAAGAATATAAAGTCTCTTCATATGGATGCCATGGGGATCTTTATCTGGTTCTCGCCGCTAGATCAATTGGAGAAACAGCAGAAGAGAGGTAAAACTCTATAAGGTAATAATACATACTAGCATTTAAGATTATTTTCCCATTTGGTCCAGTTCTTTTTCTCTAAATTATAATTAACCTATTTTCAGCTGTGTATCGGACAATATTGTTGTAATATCAAAGGCACTCACAAGCCAGTTTGTTATCCCAGAGTTTCGGACATTCACTGATATAATAGATAAGATATTTAAGAAATGCGAAGGCAACGAGAAAGGAACCGTAAGAATTACTTATTTTATGTTTTTATTTATCTAACAGTCTTTGTGTTTTTGAAATTGTCCTTAGATTAAGATTTTACCGGACTTTAATTAGCAGTCTTGTGGCCCAATAGAAACAGTTACCAATATTTGTTTACTATATTTGTTTTAAAATGTTATCATTCCTTTACAAGATTTTTCATTAAATATAAGTTTTTTTAAAAATTTTGTATGAAATTATGCATTTATTTGATATCAATTTTTTTCTATAAAATCTTGTTTAGCATATTCGATAACATTATCAACATATATCAAGTATTTCAATAACGTTGTTTAGCATTATTTGAGAATGTTTAAATTGATATGATGTAATTTGATTAAATTGTTTATAAATGAGATTTATATAGTAACAAAAACGTGCAATTTTACTTTTTTTAGCCTGCACAATATATCCCGCAGTTGGCCAGAGGTAATCCAAAACATTGGGGTGTTTCAATATGTACAGTAGATGGACAGAGGTAGACTGTTTTGAAATTTTGAGCTTTAAACGTGTACATCATTTGATTTGACTTCATTCAATATACAAAACGTTACTTGACAATAATGTGACATAACCAAGATAAATGGAAACAAACATATGACGTATTTTGAAGGAACATGCATACGGCATGTTTGACATATTATTGATAAATTTTAAGTGTTCGTTTCCTTTGCTTTGTTTTGATTGATTTTGCGTCAGTTTCCTGATGAATGTTTCTAGTGTTGTACAGATCTGTTGTCCGCCTGCTTTTTCCTGTCCAATATCAAGAGTCGGCCATTTTGGATCGAAACCGAGGCTCTTAACGCAAACAGAAAATACGGCGTTTATTATTGAGTCGGACATTTCAGACGGAAAAAATGACATAAGATATACTAAATTACCTGTAAACCAAAGCCACTGAATCTGTTTCTGAAACCAAACCGTAAGATGAGTGTAAAAGTTCCCTTGCTCAAGAAAACAACAACATTTTCCCAGACCACTCTCGTGTTGAATTTCTGGTGACATGCTTATTTGGTTTAATCAAATTTATTAAATAGATTTCACACATTTCTAGTTCTAGGACTTCTGTGCTTACTTTTTTTGTAATTTTGGTCCGGGAACAGGCTTTTTTTGCAGAGAACGTTTTCCCATATTTAAATTTTGGGGCTAATTTTTTTCAGAAAATTTTTTTTCCAGGTAGGGATTTGGGGGAAAATTTCCCTTTTTGGTTTAAAGTCATTTTAAAACCCCTGGTATTCCTTAAACTCTTTAGATTGCTCTATCCCCAGATTCGTAAACAAGTTTGTTGGGAAGGAGCCTAGTGGAAGATCTTTCAACGAACTCACATTGGACTATCAAAGTAAGATTACTGATATTACTGATATTACTGATATTTATTTTGTATTTATTTGCTTTTTTATCATTTAAAGCGATAATTTTAAAGGCACATTACGCCTCAAATTCAAATAATGTTTAACTTCCTTAGAAAAAGGCATACATGAATTTTATATGTTAAAATAATGTGGGTTTTTTTTTGTTTCAGAAAGCCCCAATCCAAATGAATTAACTCGGTGCCATCGAGTGGACCCTCCTCATTTAAAGAAAGGCTTGGTTTTATCGCCCGACAGATTTGATATTAAAGTATGCATTTCTCACAATACTTTTATCTTGTAGGCAGTTTGTTTTGATTACTGTGCACTTTAATTTTTAATAACATTTTGTTCACTTTAACAATGATTATTTAACAATGATTACGGAAGACAGAGGCGTCACATTTTGTTAAGTTTAAAAATGATTATTTAACAATGACAACAGTAATCATTTTAGCTTGATTATAGTAAGAAAGCTTTTTTTTGCTCATTTGAAACCCCCAGGGTCCACTTCCTGGAGCCTAGCCAGTACTGGTGCCATGTGAGGAACCCACTATCCCTGGTTTGCGAGGAGAGTAATCTAATCATTAACACATCTATCCCCATTAAGAGCAAATTTTGTTGCTTAATTTGTATTAAAACAATCTAGATTTACGAAGAAAGGTGGCCAAATTATTGGAAGGGGTGGGGGTGGGGGTGTCTGTCACAACCCAGAGATCGTGTGATTGTGTTTCCTTACTAACTAGCACTTGTTAGTTCCATGAAAGATATATGTGTTTCTTTTTGTTAAAATTTTAAATCAAAATGCTTTATCAACGCTTGGAAGACTTAAAAGCCTATACTGTGTTTGAAAATTTAATTTTGTTTCTCAATTTACAAAACTAGTCTGCGGGGCCTTTTTTCAAGTTTAATGCACACGGTTTCCTTCATACTTGTACAAAACATCATACGATTACGGCAATTTTAATAAACACACACGCCTTGTTGCTTGTATCAACATGAAATAATTGACACACTGTACAATTATCTTTATATAATATGTTACTAGACCTATAAATAATATTTTCGTTTCTTCATTTGAACCGGAAAGCATTATTATAATTTTGTAATTCTCCACTTTTCTTTGTATCTCTCTAGTCATAATATTTTCATTTCTTCAATGGGAAAATATTTCAGTTGAATTTCATTATTGTTGTTACGCTTCCCCAATCATTATCAATTGACGCTCCTATGTATGTAAATAATAAATATTTTTTAAAAAAAAATTTTTGTTAAATAAGGGGTTTTCGCAAAGTTGGCCAAAAAAATGATAAAATTTTCCAAAAAATTCAGACGAATTTTTTTTTGCACAAAATTTTCTCGTCCATTTTCTTTTCTCCCAATAAAATACTGCCCATTTTTTTCGTCAACATTTTTTTAAAAATTTTTCTAAGGAAATGGGTACAAACGTTTTATTTTTTCCCTTCCCAATGAGACAAACCCTTAAATATGGGGGATATGTAAACGGGGTATGAGAAATTTTTTTTGGTTTTACATGGGGGTTAAAAGGGAACTTAAAAATTTAAATTAAAGAAACCCCTCTTTGCCCAGCTACTACGTAGGGGTTTAAAAATCACCTTTCCTTTTTAATCTTTTTTTAAAAAATGCATGAATGTAAATATAAGTGTTTGAAAAACCCGTTTTAAACCGGTATTTAATTTTTAAAACCCTAAAATTTAAATTAATCAAATCCTATTCCATTTAAAGCGTCTGTTGCAAACTTAAAGGTATTCCTGTATAATGAAGAAATATTTAAGAGTCAGCTATGTTGGCTGATTTATGGTGGCTGATCTGGACGGCTTCTGTGCGTCGTGTTGGCGCTAGCGACAACAGGACAAAGCGCCAAACGGCGCATTGTCGCACTTTCGTCTTTTTCCCCGGGCGCTAAAACGATGTACCCCAAAGGCCCCCTTGTGTGGGGCGTGTTGTTGCGTTTGTAATTGTCGTTGGGGTTTTAAATCAAAGGGTTTGGTTATAACCCAAATCGCGGGGGGGAAATTGCGAAACGGGGGCCGCAGGAACAAACTTTGGCCGTTTGGCGTGTTTCCCCTTTTAGAAAGGACAAAAAAAACAGGCCTTTTGGGCGTTTTTGTGTGTTTTTGCTTTTGACAACCCCCCAAAGGGGAAAAGGTATGGTTGGTTGTGCTATCGACAACGAAACGGGGAAATGTCCCAAATAGCCACCCACAGTCAGCCAAGTATTTTGCATCTAAATATTGTTTTGTTTTGGGAGCGGAAAAGTGAAACTACAAGCAACAGAAATTCGCATATATTGTTGCAATGCGGTTTTACAAAATGCATTTTTTTCTGAATGTAACTTGTTAAGTACACGTATTATACTTATTTTATTCAGGCAATGGACCAATTAAAAAGACTGGCAGGTCAAGAGCACATCACGTTCAATAACTCTGTGTAAGTTACAATGTAATAAAAGCACTTCAAGTCCTGATCATGGACTGCTCTGTCACAGATATTATGTTTACTACACAGTAGATACAGATTAACTATTTTATGAGATTTCATTGACGTTATTAAAGCTGCATGCCTCCAGATTTATGTTAATTTTCATGAAAATTTTGATTATGTGTTTGATAGTTTAGTATTGTGAGGTGGACAAATAAGGTATTTACATATTGCAATCGGCACTTACAATCCATGCATAAACCAAAAAGAGACCAAAATATGCAAAAAAGCCCTTACTTGCTTAGTACAAACAACATATTATTCGAACTAAAGATGTCCTTAATCTTAACCAGCTGGGGTCAAAAGTGATTATAGCCTTTTCACCAGTAAAAAAAACAGGCCAGACGAACGTCCGTTGTCTGAACAGGCTCCAAATACTTTTTGATAGTTTTAATTCATATATTGTTTTTTCCTTTAGATTGAATGGACTGTTTCCAAATTAAAGCAAGGGCAAGTCCTGTCAACTCTGGCAATTGTAATACTCGGCTATGCGGGCCCTTTCCGTTAGTCTTCGGAATAGATAATAGCCGAGGGCAAAGTTTTCCGAATGCAACTCTTGGGTAAGCAAGGGTGTAAATTCCGGTTTCCCGGCGGGCCTTGTACTTAAAACGCTTAGTGCGTGTAATGGACTTGCCCTGATATTGAATTCTAGAACAGTCCATTCGACTTTAAAGGAATTTCAATATCTAAATATATGATACTATTAGACGTATTAAAAGTGTTGAGCATCCGTGTTTTTTGCATAATGAACTGCAAAACTATTTTCTAACTTTTAAAGTATTTAATATACATTTTAAGATATGATGCTTTTAAAACTGTTCGTATATGTTATTGAAGTACATCGAAATGTCTTCTGTATTATAACCTTATTCAACTAACTGAAACATGAACCGTTTCTTTATGACCTAGAAAAATACGAAAATAATTAATGCTAGAGTAGTATGACAAATGATTGTAGTGTATGAATGAACATATTGTGCCTTAGCTGACACGAACGATTAAATAAATGGTATTATTATTTAACAAAAAGATCCTTATCCTTAAAAACAGTCAGGTTTTTTTTTTATTTATTCAGGGCTTTATATATTTTATCTTATTTTAATAGTGTAGTGACTACAGCCCTGTTTGAAGGCCTACTCAGATTTCAAAATATAACGCCTCATCGGATTACAAAATATAGGGCAATTTCAAATGACAAAAAGGTCAAAGACACTCTGTTCAATTTTGTGTTTACCTCGTTTACATGTAAATAGTAAACAGAGTCTTCAAAATTTGATTTTATTCAAATTTGCATTTGAAACAGTCTGTATGTTCAAAATACGTATCTTTACCGATGTATAATCATATGGGCGTTCTGAAATATCATTTTAAAAATCTTGCACACTATTCTTTGCTTATTTAATTTACAATTTGTAAAGAAAATTGTTTTACATTTACTTTATTTAACGTGATTATTGTGTAATTTGTGAAGAAAAACAAAACAACAACAAAAAAATCGGAAAATTTATTGTTCTTTTTGTAAATTTTCGCTTTTTTTTGTAGTTTTTGAGACAATTTTTGCAATCATTATATTAGTAGAACAGGCGATGCACTTTGTATAAAAAAAGTGTTTGGGCGATTTTTGGTTTTTTACTTTCCTTTTTACATTTATAATTTATTTTAATTTTGTGCGAAAGGTAATTTTTTCCGCCTATTTTTAAGCGCGGAAGGAACATAAACTTATTCTATTGATTATGTTAACATTTGAAAACCTGGGAAATATTATTCCCGTCATCGCTTTGATTTTTATTTTTTCGTACTTGTATTTCAGAGTAGATTTTGTCGGAAAGAGCCAACAGCAGAAGGAATTTGCCCTTGGTTATTACATGAGAGGGAAAAAATGTAAGGGAATATTTTAGCCGGTCAAGACAAAACCCAACATGGTGGCGTTTGCGACCGCGGGGATCCAGACCGCCTGCGCATCCCGCGCAGTCTGACCAGGACCCATGCTGTTCGCTTACAAACCCTATTAACACAAGTAAGAAGAAACGATACGAAGCAGCATGGATTGTCAGAACTGGGGATTGCGCAGGGCCTGATTCTTGGACCATGCTGGTCGCGAAACCCATTATGTTGGGTTTGTTGGGAAAATTAAGGTATTTTCATAATTGGTAAATAATTTGTAGAAGAAAATTTTAAATTTGAAAAATAAAAAATCAATGTTTTCAGCGAAAAGGAAAAACCATTTTAACATTTTTGAGTAAAAAAAACACTTTTTTTTAGCGTTCGACACTAAATGTTACTACTAACAAGAAAATGTGACGGTTTATTATGCTAAATATAGCAAATTATATACAGTAATGAAAAAGCAAACTGGGCGTAAAAAAACGAAATGCACCAAAAAAAATATTTTATGAAAAGTTTTTTATCAATGCGATTATAAATGAAACATTATATTTTTTCAAATTTTTCAGTGTTTTCCACCAGAGGCAGACCTTATTGAAACGTTAGAGTTTTATTTTCAAGTTAAGTGAATTTCGTTGAAGTTTGTACACTATGCTTGTTGTAGTTGTCCCCTTTTCTATTAAAATAAATTTTAATACATGAAAGAGGGAAATAGTGTGATAAAACTGACGCTTTTTAAAATTGAATAACTAGAATTTTCATGCACTAATTGCAAGAGAATTTTAACAGAAATGGGAAAATGGGAGGTAACATAGGCGCTCAAATTGCACAGTTTACAATTTTGCTACGTAAAAGACAAACCCAAACATTCAAATTCATTAAAACATATCAAAGTGGGTTAGAATCCAGCCAGGGACTTAGAATTATTCCATGTGAGGAAGCTATCAAGCTAAGGTAAAAAGGGAAAATTTTGGGGGTTTTACCCTTTTCTTTCCTGCAGGAAGGGGACCAAAAGGGGTTTTTGGGAAAGGGCGCCATATGAAATAACTGTGTTAGGGGTGACGGGTTTAAAAAGGTTTTTAAAAAAATTAAATTTGGATTTGCATGCCCTAAGTAAAAGTTGGAAAGGGTTTTAAAAAATTATTAGGAGAAAGAAAAATTCCCTTTTTATTTTAAAAAAAACGTTAAATTTGAAATACATAGGGTTTAAATTAGGTTTTTTTTTTTATTTTTAGTCTTTTGAAACTTTTTCCTAAATTAAAAAGGGTCCCAAGGGGGTCTTTGGCATAAATTGTGGTCGTCAATTTATAATTCTGAATAAGATGCCTTCAATTTTAACCAATAACTTAATACATCACGGCAAACCCTTTCCTATCTGATAGACGGCTAGTCCCTTATTAATATTTTCCCAATACCATCTGTAACATGAATTTAGATATTGCGATATTAAACGGTAGTGTTGTGACATTTAACGGCAAGGGAAAATGGTGCATCATTGCGACATTCAACGGCAACATATTTTGAAACATTAAATGGCGCTGGCGACTTTTAGCGGCAATAGTGCGACATTTAGCGGCACGTGCGACATATAGAGTCGTATGCGACCTATAACGGTTGACAGACATCATTTGGGGAAATTTTAGTCCTTTATTTGCTAAAATCATGTTTGCAAAATTATTTGTTGAGAATCAATGAATTTTAAAAATTTGGCCCCACCTTTGGAAATGTCAAATTATTAAACAAATTCCGCAAATAAGTCATGGTAGATCGGAGTAGACATTTTGGTCAAATTGGGGGAGCTACCACCATAATGATAATTATATAAAATAATGTCTGTATATTTTAAAATTTTTTTAAAATTTTCTTAATTTTTGGTGGAACTTTCTTGAATAAACCCAAATAAAAAAACTCCCAGCATTTAAATTACTTTTGTAACAAAGTTTTTTAGTTTTTAAAGTAGGTTACTCTATTTTTTTTGTCCCAAGACGGCCCGGAAAGGGGGCCCAAAAGGGTTCGGATGGTTTTTCCGGAAAATTTTTTAGCTGTTTTAAATGATAAGCATGTCTTTTTTTTTATTTTTCGATTTTTGCTTTGTTCTATTTGGGTTACAAAGGGAAAAGGTTAGTTAAAGGGGGCAACATTGGTAATGGTGGAAAACTGGGCCAAATAACCGGGTGACAAGGTGCTAAAATCGGGGCTGTAAGGAAAACAAATTGTCCCCTGATGCCCTCGTGTGGGTTTTTACGCCACTTCCCCAGTTTTCATTTAGGTAAATTTTTTTAAAGTTGTATTGTGTCTATAGTGGAAGATCTGTAATACAAGAACAAAAAAACGTTGATATATAGTATTTATTATAAGGCATAACAACAAACCACGAAAGAATTATGCATGGATGTTGTTGGCAAGTGTGAGATACATGGTCCGACATTACATATATTTTATTTTATATTTTCATTTACATGTATTTGACATTTACATTCTTTCGTTTGTTTTCCCCAAACTTCAAAACTATATTACACCATAATATATTGTTTTCTAGGTCGGACTTCCATCCAAATCTGGGGTGGCTGGAGGTGTTTTGTTAGTTATACCAAATCTCATGGGAATATTTACCTGGTCCCCGCCGCTAGATCAGTGGGGGTGAAACAGTAGTAAGAAAGAGGGGGGGGGGTACAGTTCTGCGAGGTAAGGAACGGTTGAATACAAAATCTTTGATATTTTCAAAATAAAGTTTTAGAAATATTAAGTCTCATCAGATGGAAGTAATGGGAATCGTATCCCGTCCCTTGATCAGTATTGAAACAAAAGTAGGGGTTCAGTTCTTTGAGGTCAGGAAGTTGTAACTCATAGAATTTGTTTGTCAACAGTAGAGTCGTGCCTGCATGGTTTTCAATTTTTCTACAAATGCAAAGTACCAAATTCTAAGCAGAAAAAGCCCAATCGTCCGTATAAGCTATATCACATATACTCACTAACTTATTTTGACGTCACTCTTATTAGACGCAATATTGTGCGTTACGTTTTTTATGATACGGAAGTATGAACAGTAAAATCGTGTACACATATTATTATAGTGCCACATATTTCAGGAACTGGTAGCTAATTTCAACTTCCATAACTACGACAATCTTAAACATACGAGTAAGAAGTATGATCCTCGGGGCCATGCCATAGAGTCAAAGGCACAGGATGTTGTCAATTTACTCTTTAGTGCGTACAATGGTGACGTCACTGCCATGAGAAGGTAAAGTATGACCGACTGTGTTTCGTGTATTTGTTTTTTGCCCTCTTTCATGTGACAATGAAATTATCTCACTGATAAAATAAAATACTCATCAAATGAGAAATTGAATGATACTACTAGTATTCCATATATTTAGATTCCAATCTTGAAACAAAACCTCGTCACCGAGTGAATAAGCCGATGAGGTCATTTAACTTCGAACCATTTGCCCTGCACACCGTGGGTTTGATTGCCATCGGAGACTTCTGATTCTTTCGGATGATGCTGGTTTTACCTAAGTGTTCCCTCTTGCCGTAGATAAAGTACGGAGGGGTAGTCGGTGGTCTACATTCTTTTGTTAAGCTGGAAAGTCACCAAATGATCTATTTTAGCGCCTGTGAGATTTCAAACCGATTCAATCACGAATCAGCATTGATTAAAGATATTCAAAAAAGTTATTTTCTGTTGCAGGATAATACATGTGTATATAGCTATCTTTTTCTCTGTGTATCACGTGAATAGTAAAAACTTTACAAATTGTTTAATCTGTTCTAGATATGCTTTACTTGGCATGGACATGTCATTAGCCGATTATGATGGAAGGACAGCACTGCATCTTGCCGCCGCTGAGGGCCACGAGTCCATTGTAAGATTTTTACTCGAGAAATGTGATGTTAACAGCCATCTGAAAGACAGGTACAAATCTTCCCTTTACTTAATTTTCTGTTTACGTTTTTCCAAATAAGTAATGTTAGGGTTACTCTCAAGTAATCCATGCACCCTATATACATGTATGTTTCCAGTTGTTAAGGTGTTCACATGCAGTTTTTTATTAAAATATTTCAAATTCTTCAACGGAGGAGGGCTGAGGCATGGTTACAAGTGACTAGTGGGTTATAAAGGAGTGACAACGGCAACAAGTGGTATTACTGGACAGTCTCCTGAAACGGACTTTGCCTTCTTCACACCTCCATCGCCTATTACATGCTATCTTCATCGCAACTTTCCGGCTTTATACATCAAACTTCGGATTATAATTTAATCATTACATTAATTATTATTGGCGAGGTCTGCCAAAATGTAGAAATATCTACTGTTTCATTATTCGATCCCGTTTTTTTTTTCAGATGGAACTTCACAGCTTACGATGACGCAAAAAGATTCAAACATGATGATGTGGCAAAGATTCTTTTAGAATATATGAAGAACCATCCACCAAAAGACGGAGAATTTAAAATAGAAGATATCAACGAAAAGTTGAAAAATCTTCACTGTATTGATTGATGAAATAAGAAACACTTTTGACGCAAAAGATGCCTAAATATAACCCATTTCTTTTTGTCGTGAGAGGGGCTGACTTGGGCAAATAAGCCAATACTTTTTCTTTGTTTGTGCGGATGTCCAAAGTTTTCTTTGTATGAGTCAAGCAACCTGTTTTCAAGATTATGTACATGTAACGTTCGTATTTTGTGCCCATCATTTTCTTGAACAAAACATTGTGATAAAATGTGTAAATACATGTATACGAATCATCCGTTTAAAAACTGTTACATGGGACACTATTGTCATAAAGATCGTTTGCAGACGACCGACTTAATTGTACAGAATGATTCGTTTAACAACCTTGCCATAGAATAATATCACTGTCACATCATTGTATAAAACGCATATTTACCGACGCATATGAATATTCACCCTTAATGTCTTAAATAGGCTTGTCCATGTGTTCTATCTGGACTAAACCATTATCATTTATAGGGAAATTTTCATATTAAAACTGAATAGCGAACTGTGCAGCGCAAGAGCAGACGACATGGATGTTTTCCTCCATTCGTTTGTATTAGGTTTTAATAATATTAGCGTACGTTTGTAACATTGCTTTTCATTGGACAACTGCTACATCTTTATCATCCATATACATGGCTTAATCAGTTTTTTTATTTGAATCAGTGCAGCATAATCAATAAGTAATTACTAATATTATAAACTGATTAATGATTATATTGTTTATGGATTATATTGTTGACAGGTTGTATTGTTGATAGGTTATACATGTATATCTGGTTGTCTAATTACATCAACCTTGTGGTAATACTCATGAATATGGGGTTATTATACCGGTAGCTGGCCCTTCAATTTTTTCGGGGTTAAACTTTTTTAAAAACTATTTTACAAATTTTTTTTAAAAATATATTTAAATATTTTTATTACATTTTTTATCCTGACATATTTTTAAAAACCCTTTAAAATTTGTTATTATTTTTTTTTTTATTTATATTTAAAAATTACTGGTGTCATTCAAATTAAAATTTGGGTTTAAATTTTTTTACTTTTTTTTTTTTCTGGGGTTTTGATAGTGGGTTTTCCCGTGTGAAGCTTATTTTGAAAATTCCCCTTTTGTCCCCTGTCTTTTAATAAAAAAGGTAAAAAAATAGTTTTTATATAAGTAAAAAAAGGGGCGTAGGGCTCGAAGCACGGGTTTTTTTGTTGGGTGAAGACATTACTTAACTTTAAATGGCCCAAGTATCCCATGGTAATTTAGCGTTTTCATTTCGGCCCTCGATGAAACCCCGGGGACGTTTAGAGATGGCTCATTTTAAGTTAAGTTGCAAAACACCATTTCATCTTGAATAATTGTCCTAAAATATCGTGTATCGGTCTTGTTTTGGGGTCGTGAACTTTGAGGTTATTTATAAAGGAAATAGACATTTAATCTACATAAAGCAAGCGACTCCCGGGACAGGGCTAAGTTTGACTTGAGAGTCTTGATTAATAGAACTGTTGTAGAAATCTACAAATTGGTACTAAATCTCTAGTCTATGCAGTTTCAGACAATAAGACTTAAATTTATGAGTTTGAAAACCTATTTAAGTCTACATAAATCAAGTGACCCAGAGGCAGGCCAATATTGACCCTAGGAGAGTGAGTAAAAATTAATATCAGTTTATGAAGATCCATAAAGAAATGCTACAGCTAATTATCTTAGCTTTTGGCATTACACTGGCTTAAATGTTTTTGCGTCGGACGCGCCCTCAGGCGCGTTCAGAGCTAAGTCATCTACAATTGGGATTTCGTCGGCTACAATCGCGCAAAGTGTCCTCAACCGATTAACAGCCCAAGAAATAGTACATGAATTTGATCATTTAAAACTCCCATACTTTGTCGGAATATCTTAAAATCTTCCATATTTAGCCTTTTCAATTTCAAATTAAGTTAGAATATGAACGTATATGATTGATAAAAACGTTGTAGTCCCGTAGTATAAATGCACAATATGCAAATTACTGCCGAAACGATTTACCGCTGTCGTAAAAGTAGGACAGCAAATTATACTATAATAAAGGTGTAAGCTCTGAGTTCCAAGAAATTATTAGTAGGAAATAAATATTTCTACATTATACAAAACATTATTATTAACAAAACAAAAGTTTTTCGTGACTCTAGAATAACTCGCGCATTAATAAAAGAAGAACTATTTTCGTGACTCATACCGCGGGTTTAGCTGAATATTCAGCAGTTATTAATAAATTAGATACAGTACAATGGTTCACAGGCAATCGGTGCGTGGCTTGGATAGTATACATGTACATGACCACGCCCACTTATTTTTTATAAATATTTTTTTTTCACTAATAAAATATTTTTTCATTCAAAATGTTTTAAAATATCTTATTTTCAATAAATCAACAAAGGAAATTTGTTTTTAAAAATTTCATCCATATATACTTATATATTTATATAGTAAAGGTAGAAAGGTTCGCCAGCGGACCTACCACCAGGCCTTATGTTACAGTTTGTTCGCCAGTTTCGACGAACTTTTTACATTATGCGGTCAAACTACAAAATAGACCAGATAAAGAAAAATATTATTGTTGATTTAGTATGATATTAGTCTTAATTTGAAAGTCGCTAAATATTAAGTAAAAGTTTATTTAACTTATTTGCTGCCGAGCTTTTTTTCATTGGTCGAATTTCACCAGTTCCGAAGCACTTTCATCGGTTACGGCGGATATCGTTTTTTTACTCTTCCGTAGGAATACGTAAAGAGTCCCTTCACGGGAAACTTCTAGTGTCACAGTTATACTGCCACACTCCACATAAAGTAATTAAGATCATATATTTTGCATCATGTTTTAAATTAAAATTGAAAACAGCGTCATAAAAGGATACCACCATTTTAAGATAAGTCCTCCAATGCAATACGACCTAAAAGTAGATCTAGAATATACAAATGTACATGATAACAAGAAACATGGCAATGCCACGAAACCAGGTTTTCAATTAACACCATTGTAGATAAATATGTTGTAGTTGAAATACAAATACAAGCAACAAACAATGTAACTATGTGCAATGTAAATCATGATTAATGAATTTTCTATTTTTAGTAACTGTAACCTTGACCCTAGGAGGCCAAAAAGCCATCCCAAATGAGGTCTTCATAAAAACTTGCTTTACCACAAATTTCATAAAAATATCTTATTCCAAACAAGTTATTGACCGGAAACCTATTTTCTATTTTTAGTAACAGTGACCTGACTGGAAACAGATTTTCTATTTTTAGCAACAATGACCTTGACCTTGACTCTACAGGACCCAAAAGCAGGCAGATGAGCTGGCAGGCATGCAACAACCTAGATAGTTTCTGTTTTATAACTAAATAAAGTTTGTTGTGATTAATAGGATATATTACACTAATAATTAAATTTTATGGAAAAACAAAGGGCCATAATAAGGTAAAAGGTAAAACTTATCCAATCATAAAACCCTGACAATACACAGCAGGGCACTTGAAGATAAAGCTAATCTGTGAAAATTTGAACAAAATCCATTGAGAAATGTAGAAGAAGTTGGGCAACAGAAGAAATTGTTCACTATATATATATATATACTCTATATAAGGGAAAAAAACAAAGGGCCATAATTAGGTAAAAATGATCCAATCACAAAAACCCAACAATATGCATCAGGGCACTAGATGACAAAGCTTCTGTGAAAGTTTGAACAAAATCCCTTGAGAAATGTAGGAGTTGGCACAGAAGAAATTGTTCACTATATATTCTGTATAAGAAAAAAAACAAAGGGCCATAATTAGGTAAACAAGATTGCATTTGAGAAAAATGCTATGCCACCGCATGGTTCAAATTTCATAGCTGTACATTAAAGGACAAGAAAGTAGGTCACATCATCAAAATCTAGGTCAAAGTTCAATTTTACAACTAAAACTGTGCACATGGTCAAAATGTCATTGCTGTACATCAAAGGACAAGAAAGTAGGTCACTGTCCCCTTGGGCAAGGCATAATGTTGACCCAAGGGTTTAATAACAATCTTGATACAAGTCTTACAAACAACATTTCAAGTCAAATATCTAAGCTATAGCTTTCTCCCATTCAGAAAACATTTGTTTTATTTTCTGTTTTTACTATGTGTACATAATGAGAATCACTGCCCCCGGGCAGGGCCAATTTTTGACATTTGAACAACTTTGGCCGAGGACCTATAGATGATATTATATATCCAACATCAAAGCTCTATGCCTTGAACCTTCAGACAAATTTTTTTTTCACTATATGTACATAATGAAAATCAATGACCCCCGAGGCGGAACCAATTTTGACCCCAGGGCTATAATTTGAACAATCTTGCTAGAGGTTCACTACACAATGTTTCATGCAAAATATCTTAACTCTATCCTTTGTAAATTTAGAGAAGATGACTTTTTTAAGTTTTTACTATATACATATAAGATAAACCTATGGCCCCCAGGGGCGGGGCTAATTTTGACACATGCAAGAGGCAAAATTTGAACAACTTTGGTAACGTACCTTTAGATGATATTATTTAACAAATATTAAAGCTCTAAGCCTTGTACCTTCAGACAATAAGATATTTTTATTTTTTACTATATGTATATATTGAAATCAATGACCCCCATGGCGGGGGCAATTTTGACCCCAGGGCTATAATTTGAACAATCTTGCTAGAGGTTTACAACACAATGATTCATGCAAAATATCTAACCTCTAGCATTTGTCAATGGCTAGAAGATTTTTTTAAGTTTTTACTATATACATATAAGGAAAACCAATGACCACTGGGGCGGGGCCGACTTTGACCACAGGGCTATAATTTTAACAATCTGGGTAGAAGTCTACCAGACAATGCCTTATGCAAAATATCTAAGCTCTAGGCCTTTTGGGTTTTTACAAGAAGGTATTTTAAGTTTTTACTATATGTACATAGTGAAAATCAATGACCCCCGGGGCGGGGCCAATTTTGACCCCAGGGCTATAATTTGAACAATCTTGTTAGAGGTCTACCAGACAATGCCTTATGCAAAATATCTAAGCTCTAGGCCTTTTGGGTCTTTACAAGAAGATTTTTTAAATTTATCCTTATAATTCCTTTTGGTTGCCATGGCAACCAGATTTCTGCATGGAATGAAATTCTTTGAACAAAACTTTGGAAGCCCTTCACCCAGAGAACAATCCTGCCAAGTTTGGTTGAAATTGGACTAGTGGTTTTCCACAAGAAGATTTTTTAAGTTCACTATATAATCTATATAACACACACACACACACACACAAACACACACACAGGTGAATCGTTATATGCCATCGCATCGCAGATGCTGCGGTGGCATAAAAATTATCCAATCACAAAACCCCAACAGTATGCCTCAGGACACTTGATGACAAAGCTTCTGTGAAAGTTTGAACAAAATCCTTTGAGAAATGTAGGAGGAGTTGCGCACAGAAGAAATTGTTCACTATATATTCTGTATAAGAAAAAAAAACAAAGGGTCATAATTAGGTCAAAAATTATCCAATCACAAAACCCCAACAGTATGCATCAGGACACTTGATGACAAAGCTTCTGTGAAAGTTTGAACAAAATCCTTTGAGAAATTTAGGAGAAGTTGCGCACAGAAGAAAGTGTTCACTATATATTCTATATAGGGGGGGAAAACAAAGGGCCATAATTAGGTCAAATGTTATCCAATCACAAAACCCTGACAATATGCAATAGGGCACATGATGACAAAGCTTCTGTGAAAGTTTGGTCAAAATTCGTTGAGAAATGTAGGAGGAGTTGCGCACAGAAGAAATTGTTTACGACCGCCCGCCCGCCGACATACCTCAATCTAATAACCAGATTTTTCCTTCAGAAAACCTGGTTAAAAATGCAGCCTTAGTATGGATTCCACCTTTGGATAACTTTCCACTTGAAATGAGAGAAATTGTCACTGACAGCAAACGGTATCTGAGGTTGTCTGATGTTGCAGGCTTGCCTATTGGCCATGTTCCAAGAGGACTTGCATGTGCATTTCGAAAAATATTAGAATCAGATGGGACAATCACTGCCACAGCCACTGGAGAGCCTTGCCCAAGCTTCCCTCCATGGCCAGCACCAGATGCAACTGGAGGGGGTGCAGTCATACCTTGTGACTATAAAATTCATACTAATGAACAAAAATATTTTGAGTTATTAACAGATGCCCTAAATCTTATGCCTGAGAAGGAGGCAATGAACATCAATTTGATAAATAACAATTAAGAAATGCTCACAAAGGATGTTTTTTATTTTGAAATACAAAAGAGCAACTTTTCAATTTTATTGTTCTAGTGAATCTATGTGTGTCATTTGTTAAATTTTATCAGTTTATGGCAAGTAAATGCATATATATATAGAGACAAACTACAAAGTTTTACAATAACACATTATTTATGTTAATAAATTTTAAAACTATAGCAAAGTGTCTGTCATACATGATAATCAGAAGTTATGTTGTGCCAATAATGGCATGGCTTTTATAATTGCAAAAATCCTGCATTCATTATGTAACACAAATATGGCAGAAAAATTCATCAGTTTCTAATGTCAAAGCAGCATGGTCAAAATCATGATCTTTAGGTATGCATGATACATGTATCCAGCTGTCACAAATATCACATTGGACCCAACCATCTGGATCCTCTGTAAGTTTTTTACAAACCAAACAGTGATCTGATTTAGAACCTGCAGTAAAGGATAGAGCCTTCTTTGCTTTAACCCTACTAACACAAGATTTCTTACTATAAGAAAGAGCTGCAGATTTACCTTTACCTTTAGCTGCAGCAGATTTACCTTTACTTTTACCTTCAGCAACTTTTTTTCTTTTACCTGAGATTTAACTTTTTCTTTCATGTATCTTTTTTTAGCTGCCAGTTCTTTTCTAGCAAATAGTCTAGTAGCATTTAGTTGCTTTAAAGCAGATGTTCTAATACTCTCTGCTGAAGTTAAGCAATCGGGCAAAGTGTCAGAAGTTGATATTCTTTTTTTACATTACTACATGATGGGAATACTAGTGCTTCCATAACAGATGATGAAACTGTATCATGAACTCCTGAGCCACACTGTGGTGTTATAGGAGTAGTATTAGTATTAGTAATACATGTACTTACACCAGAACTGGCAGCATTTACATTACTACTTACATCAGAACTGGTAGAATTTACATTACTACATGTACTTAAATCAGAACTGTCAGAATTTACATTACATGTACTCACACTGTGAGGTATAGATATAGTGTTAGACAAATTAAAAGCAACATCAGCAAGCAGAGATAATGGAGACTGTAGTTCTGTTGCATTTAACAAACTAGTACCAGATATATCTCCTGACAAAGAGTTGGGTGTTACATTAACAAAACTAGTACCTGGTAAAGCTGACTCAGGGGTGGCATGACCAGTAGTAGTAACTGTTAAAAGGGACATATTTTCTGCTGACATAGAATGGGGTGTAACATTAATACAGCTGGTACCTGGTAAAACGGACACAGGGTTGGCTAAAGAAGTAACTGGTGTTACATTTACAGCAGACATAGGACTGACCACATGACTAGTTAATGAATTGTTATTGCAATCAAATGGAGCATGCTCTTTCTCAGATGATAATGACTGAAAAGTCATTGCAGGCTTAAGGAGACTTTCAGAGATTTTTGATCGGTCAATTGGAAAAATACATGTTGACTTAAAACTATTAACTACAGTAAGTGGTTTATAAAAATTTAAAAATGCCTCTTGAAGTTTTGCTGCAAAATTTTTCTTCCCAATGCTCTTATCTGGGTTTTCTTTTGTATTTCTAACAATTTGGTACCACGATTTTTCAAAGGCCCAAATAGACCATTATCTAAGGGTTGTAAGAAGTGAGTTGCAGTTGGTACAAGTCTGTATAGTTCTATCCCTTTCTCTCTGGCGAAGGTAAAAACATCCAAATCAATGTGACTGCTCACACTATCAATGAGTAAAATTACTGGTCTGTTTGGACATGCATACTTATCAAAATGTTGGAGGAACTTGAAAAATGTCTTGGCATTCATCCATCCTTTGTCAGTATACTCTATGACTGTACCTTTCCTGCTGTTAATCAAAGGATCATATGCTGTAGGCTGAGGACTAGGGTATACCAAAAATGGTGGGATGATATCACCCTCAGCATTACCACAAAACATGGCAGTCAACCTCTTCTTACTGTTCCCACTCAAATGTGGCAAGTTCCTAGGGTATTCTGACTTTGTTGGCCCAATCACAGATCCAGCCTTACTCCCCATAGAAAACCCTGACTCATCTGCATTGTAGACTCTGTTTGGTTTGTCCAGCAGATGAAGCTGAGATACAAACTTGTAATAATTAGAGAACCACTTATCAAGTTCTGTAGAGGTAACTTTGGCCCTTGAACTTTCCAAAGATGACTCCTTTCTTATCTCAACTAAATGAGCATTACGTGCCATAAAACTGTAAAATCATGTATAACTTGGGCGATCATTTTTAAAGTTATTCTTCCTTTTGTCTTTCTTTAAAATACCACAAACAAATTCTAAAAAGTCTGCCACACCTAAACCCATCCCTCTTCTGGACATCTCAGCCAACCACTTAGCCATTTCCTCTTCCTCTTTTGCACTAAAAACAGGTCTTGGGCCATTTCTACTCTCTTACGAAACATCACCAGCAATCCTACGCCTCAAAAACTTTTCAGATAAGTTGTTTTTCTTGGCAGCTTTCAGAACTGACATCCCATTTAAAACCTTTTTCATGGCAAACTTTATTCTTTCTGTTTTACCTGGAGATTTCCTAAAACCTTTCTTGTATTTTAAAGTTATTTTGTTTGCTTTACTCTGGACTGGACTGGCAATATTAGCATTTTTTCTGGCTGATTTGCAAGGTGTCCTACAAGATCCCAAGTCACTGGTCTTCTTAATTCTGGCCATTACTCCTGTTAGAAAGACACATATTTAAGTTTAAACATTTCTGCATTCAGGCAAGCAACATAAAATGTAATTATCTTAGATCAATGTTCAGTGTTTTTTATTATTATTTCACAATATAACTTGAAGAACAACATAATACAATGACTAGATGTATTTTCATCATCATGTAATATAATGAACATAATCATTTCATGTCACACCACCATTACATCAGCCAAATCATGCTTACAAGTTGTGATTGGCATTGTATATACTTCATATTGCATGGAGAAATATGTAAGCATGACCCATGTAATCAAATCAAATTGATAAAATAATTTAACAAGAAAAGCATTGATGCAAAGCATCAAAGGGCGTCCAAGCAAGAAATACAGAAAGTGAAGATGAACTAGTAGACATATGATGACAAGGTATTCTTATAAACTTTTCAATGGTTAATTGGTTTTTACCAGAATGAACGGACGAAAAACATTGTTCATTATGAACTTTGATTGGCATGCTAGAGATTAGAATATTACTTGTTATTTCTTTATGGTCGTGATTATTAATAGCAACGGATATACATGTATACAATCATTTATAATCCATATGTGTAACGCATGATCAACACCACACTTGTGGAATTGTCTCTTATTATGTTATCGCTATTAGCGAAGACCCCTTCTTAAGGTATCTGTTCACACTTAGTAAAAATATGACACTAGTTATATGACCATGTTGATCATGTTGAGCATAATTGTTCATTATACAAAAATTGTAATATCTATTTTAATATAAAAAATACAGATTTTTTTATGAATATTGTTTTCCTCTCATTTTCGTGTTTTATGTGCTATTTTGATACTGAGTTTTCACGTTTACTACTCATTTTTTTATTAAAATTGTAAAATAAATTTTAAGAATTTAATTGTCATATTGACCGACGATTATAAGTCAAAACTGAACTGGAAATCAGTAAATTATGCTTTATCTTTCAATATATAATATTGCTTATTCCATGTATTCTTAAACCATGTACATGTACATTTGTATTTTTCTTTATCATTTGAATCAATTGAATAATTCATAAAATCTAATTTGTAACTTTGAATAATTCCTGGGCATCTTTACTAAACACGAATAACAAAATAAATAAAATATTTCAAAGTTGATAGTGTCATATTTATACCATAAAAATGTACCTTTTTCTCAATTATTGTACATATTTATTGTTTTTATCTCATATAGATAAAATGAAACATGCTATTGTTGTTGTTGTTGGTTTTTTTTTCGAATTGTATGTTTATGTATAATAATAATCAATAAATTTGAGAGTTGGTCTATGTTTATTAATTATTGTAACCAATCTAAGTGACAAACATTCATTTTGAAAAAAAAGCTTATTTATCTGTAAAATATCTGTTCTGTTCTGTAACGATATCAAACATCTACTCCAAAACCGGGAGAGACCGGACAATAAACGTGTGATACTATTCGCCGGTCACTAGTAAATCCCGGTCAAAATAGACCGAGAGAGACCGAGAATTACCGATAGGAGTAAATCCCTCTATAAATAGATTTTCGGAATGTTTAGGTCATCAACTCATCATTCTATTTTAACATACCATAATAACCCACTGTGTACTACAAAATGATAAATAAAAAAACCGAAGAGACGAAAAAGGTTATTTCATGCATTGCGAAATTATCTAGTTCGCTATTCATTTTACATATCGAGACATTTTTTTTTAATCAAGCACCCTCATACCGATCGGAATGATCGGATTTTATTATGACCGACTATAAGGCTCGAGAAGTTGATGTCGCCCTTTCACAAAATAAGGGCGCCGCGCTTCGGCGCGGACGCCAATAAAGGTTGTCCCCGTATGGGACCTCATGAAAAAAGTTGCAGGCAAATCCATCGGAACTGGCTAAATGTACGTCATATAATTTTGATCAAAGTTTCTTTTGAATAAAATGGGTGTAAATGTTTATATTTTGAGAATGTCTTGTGTAAATCTGATATAAAATCAGGACCATAAAAGAATTCTCGTTCTCTCCACGCATATCTGGTAACTTGCAATCAAGTTTTCAATTTGACATTTTCGGCCATTTTGTTTTTTCTGATGATACGACCCCTTCACATTTTAATGGGACATTTAACTAAATTAAAAAACGATTTTAATATACCTATGCCAGCAATTACTTTGGAAAATGTACAGGTTCAATGCTGTTTACTTTCACTATTGGATGACCTAATTTCTCGGAAGTTATATTCGGAATACTTCGGAACCGGTGAAACGTCGGAACTGGCGAACAGACTGTACCTCCCAGATCTTTGTTAATTGTCAACCAATTTTCACCAAATAAAGTGCAATCTACGCAGAAATGATTTCACTTTCGAAACATGTACAATATTAGACCAGTTGGTTCGACAAAAGATGGAATTTTAAAGCGAAAATGCACTTTTTGTCTAGATCGGCCATCGCTTGACCGAGCCGAAAGTAGACGATTTTGAACATAAATCGATCTTTTTTTAATAACAAACTAATGTCAGTGCATGCAAACAGTTGAAACAGAAAAGGCAGCTATAATACTATCGCTTACCGGTCCAAAGTTAATCCAAAACGTCTGTAGGTACGCACTTTCAGTAGTTATTTGCACTAACTAAAATTTCCCGACATTGTACATGTATACAAATCCTGATCCGGATATTCAAAGTACGTTGCTCGGTTCCCGCTGGTACCCATGAGGTTAGTCAATATTCAATGTGGCCATACCACGTGACTTTTCGGGTACGGAACACGCCGATTTTTCACCCGATTCAGGTATGTTTTTTATCCATTACTTATTTATTACTCAACCGATTTTGATCAGATAAGGCGCAGAGTACCCGTAATTATATCAGCTTTCCACGGTATATAAAAATTCTGAAAACCCCTGAATGGTTTTTGAGAACATTCGAGTACAGTTTTCTTCTCATAGCCGGGGCCGAGGGGAACGGTACACACTCATTTGTCATAGCAAGCGATTTCTAGCAAGTCATATGTTTTTTGTCACTATTTCATAGAAAAATACATGTTAAATCTGATATATTTACTATGTCCAATGTATCGAGTGAATGCAGTGATGTTTTAGCATATTTTCATAAAGTTATGTTGAAATGGTACGGAACACACTGTTATTTAAAAAGATACGGTACACACACAATTTCTGTCTTTGAAATAATTCTAAAATAAAATATATGAAAATTTAATTTAAATTATAATAATATGAGTGATTTTTTTTTCATAGTTATACATTTTATTAATTTAAACAAGAACCCTGGGACCTGTTTTGCAATGTATCATTATGCTTACTTCAAATGTTAATATGTATTTGTGCATTATATTTCAGGAGTAATTGTCCTACTAGTACTTAAAATCACCTAGGGTATGATAAACACTTCCTCCTGAAAAAAATAAAACAATGTCATGACCTAAATCGCTGAAAAATATCATTACTTGATAACATTATATATATTTATATTTTGTTAATAATAAGTAAGTCACTAGGTACAGATTTGCAGTATCATGGTCATGTTTAATTAAATCAAAACACAGAAGGCGCTGAATTTGTTTGGGTCTCAGAATGTCAGAAAGGTGAAGGTTATGAGATTACAAACCAATTTGTTTTTGTATAGTGCCACCAATGCTGTTTCCAGTGTTATAACTGTAGTAAATTGGCTACAATGCTTATTGCAACACTGATACCATTCAATGTTTATTTGGCTTGAAAAAAACAACAACAAAAACAAAAATAAATAAAAACATGAGTTGCCTTAAATGGGATTTGAGCTCAGGACATCTCTCTCTCTTTCTAAACGAGCGTGTTGGGGGACAGTAGTGGATTATCTTCCCTTGATAAAAACCGAGGTTAACCAAAGTATAAGTAGGTCCAAATATTTGGAATCCTTTGCTTTTATCGTTGAGTTTTATATAAGACAGGTTGATATGTCTTAATCAATTATTTACACATGCATCAACAAATATGTAAACCTTAAGGAAAAAATGTTTAATTTATGTCAACAGATTCTACATCCTATCGCAATATCTAATCTGAATATTACAAATGATCATAATTAGCCCTAATTAATTCAGTTTGCTACAAAGAAATAGGCGATAAAGTCCGAGTAATCCAATAGCTTAGGACCTATCTTTTTATAGGGAGTACTCAGGGGAGGTTATTCACTACTGTCCCTCGACCACGGGGAAGTTACACGATAACAGCCTGAAGAAACCATATCATTCTAAATTAGGGTTTGTAACCCTTATTTATTTCGTTTAACACTGGTGTAAATAATCATGGAGCTTAATATTGCATGTATATCTGTAAAGAATGACACAATATTTGAAACCTTTGACCAATCGGGAAGTACTTTTCTTTCCCTGAGAAGGCTTGAAAATTAATGCGCCTGTCATTTGACTATCTTTACGCAGTGATCTCCCCTTATATTTTTTTCGGCGTTAGAGTACTTATAAAGGTAAATAACCGCTTCCAGGAGTTCGGACTACTTTCTGATGTTGCAAATAAGCATATCAGAGTCTGAAATTTCGCTACAATTATTTGTTTGGTCTGACGACCCAAACAAATAAAAATGTAGTTGTCATGGCTTAAATTTTTTATGTTTAAAGGCATGAAGCTTTAAGAATAACTTTAAATTCAGGTAATATAGGTCATTTTTGGTTTGGTTTCACGGCTCACCAAAACTGACATGATCATGTGGCGACTTTCCAGTTTTACAAGTGCCCCTTTAGGTATATAGAAAGGTACGAACGGGCACCTGAGTAGAATGACCGACGTTCTTTACGGTAGTTAGAAAACTTTCTCACATAAAAAATCGAAACATCGAAGTCATAGGTGGTCTCGTACCTACTTCATGTAGTATATAAAACAGAACGCAGCCTCCATAGCATTTAATTTACAAAATGGGTATTATTAAAAATATCAAAAGTGTACTTGGAGTGCACTATCCTCGTAAGACATTGTTTAATCATTTTATTTTTAACACAAACACGCAAGCACACATATCCATGAAATCATGTTTTTCAAGCATCTTTAAATGAAAGTCCAAGATAGGCATAATTTCACCAAAATTTCTTACATGCATATGTAACAAGGTTACCTTATGTAAACTACGTTACGTTATATAACAGACCTTGTTCCCATATGGGTTCTTCAATTTATCCGGCTTTTTATTTTGATTGCACGTAAAACTGCGGAATATCTTTGTCCATATGTAGATAATTTGATAATTAAATACATGCAGTTAGTTTGGGACCCTGGCAGATGAATCATACCAAATATCATGTTGCAGAAAAATACTTTAAACTTTCCGTGATTTAAAAAATCCACTTTCATCAAAACCAGCGTTTTTTCTCAAAATTCTCCAGATTCGATCAACATTTAACTGCTTGTTTGTTTTTTTATATTCATACTCGGTTTAGACAGTCATTTATATATTCGAACAAAAAATTAAATGGAAGAATAATCGCACATAACAGATGTCCATGAATGTCATAATTTGTTTTATAATCCGAAAAAAATACATAATTATTTCACAGAAAAACAAAACAAACACAATTTTGAATGTTTTCCGTATCCCTCCCTAAAATATTAACATTTTATAGCCAAATATTAATTGTTTAACATTTAAAATCGAATTTTGCGCTTCGTACTCTCAAAGTGTTCTTTTATTTTTTTTAAGTAATCCTGTTTACATCAAACTGTAAGCATATATAATGATACATTGCAAAACAGATCCCAGGGTCCTCGTTTAAATTAATTAAATGTATAACTATGAAAACAAATCACTGACATTATAATTCAAATTAAATTTTCATATACTTTATTTTAGAATTATTTCAAAGACAGAAATTGTGTGTGTACCGTATCTTTTTAAATAACAGTGTGTTCCGTACCATTTCAACATAACTTTATGAAAATATGCTAAAACATCACTGCATTCACTCGATACATTGGACATAGTAAATATATCAGATTTAACATGTATTTTTCTATGAAATAGTGACAAAAAACATATGACTTGCTAGAAATCGCTTGTTATGACAAATGAGTGTGTACCGTTCCCCTCGGCCCCGGCTATGAGAAGAAAACTGTACTCGAATGTTCTCAAAAACCATTCAGGGGTTTTCAGAATTTTTATATACCGTGGAAAGCTGATATAATTACGGGTACTCTGCGCCTTATCTGATCAAAATCGGTTGAGTAATAAATAAGTTATGAATAAAAAACATACCTGAATCGGGTGAAAAATCGGCGTGTTCCGTACCCGAAAAGTCACGTGGTATGGCCACATTGATATTGAATCAAGGGGCATTATTCATATCAGTTCTGTTAAGGTCAATAAGGCAAAGCTACATGCTAAATATCTAAGCTCTCGACATTGCAGTTACAAAGACAATGAAATGCGTTTTTCTATTCAAGTCTAGCTATATAAATCAAGAATTTCCGAAGGCGGGGCCAATTTTGATCTCAGGATGCCAAAGCCTGTGTTCTGCACATCGTCTCATTATTAAGTAATATTTCTGGCAAAATGTTTTAAATTCTTTCTATCGGTTCAAAATATACAGGAAGGACACTAACTTTTGAAATTCATACATTATGACTTAGTGAGACCTTGACATAGGGCAGGTAAACCTGTGTTCTGCATATCGTCTCATTATGGTTAAAATGTCTGCCTAGTAGTTTCAATTTTCTTCCACCGGTTCAAAAGACACAGATTGGATACGAAATTGCTAACAGACAGACGAACGACCAGATGCAAAACAATATACGTCGGAATATTCTGCAAACGTTTGTATCTCTAGACAGATAGACATGTCTAACAGACAGACAAAGGCTTAATCACGCATTAGCAATATTATATCGCTCCGCCATTTCAAGAAGGGATTATATAAAACAAAACTAAAAATCAATAACAAATATAAAATATATAAACATGTATTTATTATGCGTGTTACAATCAAACCATGATATGCATGTTAGGCATTTAAACAATCGAGATTAATAATATCTGTCATATTTTGCGGTTCGGATCGGAATATCCGTCCCGAGGTGACCCGCCCATTGGGCGCTCACGAGGTTGCCGAGTTACCGCCCATGGGCGGGTGACCGAGGGACGGATATTCCGCTCCGAACCGCAAACATATGTCAGATATTTTTTCTTGCATATTCTACCATATTCCATATTTTAAATTCTTTATCTTTATTTTCAATGAAAATTTATATCATTACAACCGTAACTACTTTCATTCAACAGCGTATGAATTACAAAATCATTCATAACGGTAAAATGACGTCATCTTTATCGTGCCATTGTACAGCACGCGACTCATCTGGAACCCCCCATGCCAGATGAAATTTCCGGCATGGGTAAAACTAACGGAAACGCCAGTCTGATATGCAAGAAAATATCGTAAACATACTCTCTTGAATGTTGGAAAAGATAGAGCAAACAAAAATAATATTATTGTACATAATATATATAAAAGGCACTACAGAAATACACTCAGAAACAAATCGGAAATTTACATTAAATGGTACACAAATCACGAAAAAAATATATTTCAAGTACTTTCTTGTAAAAAAGCCTAACATCCCTTTAAAAAAGTAAAATAAACCTTAATAACAAACTAAAACTGACACTGAATGTGTTACATCATGAGATGTCTAAAAATGACTCATTATATAATTATGCTGTAATAATAGATGAGCAACAAAGAGAATAAATTCTCATTATAAATCTAATCTTGCTACTGAGATCATTTATAAAGTGTATTTTTATAGTGATTTTGTCTGAGAGTTGTGATGGGGATGCGGGTCACATGAAGTAATTCCTGTGTAAATGGTAGAGGAAAACCTAAGGTGCCACTTTGTTCATGAACACTTTATACTTTATAGGACAATGACCGGAGTATGTAAGCTAGCTAGCATACCCCTTGTCCCTGGCAGAATTCAGACCCACATCTGCGAGAAATAACAGAATCAATTTATATATTAATTCATCTACCCTACCTTTGAATAAATTGAATACACATATAAACATATCGGTTTATTAAGTGTGTTAACAATTTAGGAACCATTCAAATTACAGAACAAGAGCCCCGTTGAGATGGGGGCAATATACGGCCAATGGCAAACTTACAATAATCTATCACTGACCAAAAGAAGACAGCAAATTTATTGTTGTAAATGGCACCGATGATGACTTTTTCATTCTATTTCAAAGTGAAATTTACAATCATTGTTTGTTTTATGTAACAGATAACTTATTGGTACATGTAATAGAAGATATCTGAATTTTCACCTTTACTCTGACTGAACAAAAACAATTCTATCAAGTTTGGTGATATTGTTATACAAATATATTGATTTGCTGATAAAACCTGAACCGTGTTCAGTTTAACAGAAAATTTGGTTTAAAAGGGACTTAACTCTTTCAACATTAATTTGAGTGTTAATTAAAATCAAAAAGTACTGAGCACAAGTGCTGTCTGGTTATTATGACTTCATTTCTTTTACATAGCATTAATAACATTTATGCTTTTACATGTCAGTAATGACATTTGGTATTTTACATGGCAGTAATGACATTTGTTTGTACATTTGTTTTTACATGACAGTACTGACATTTGCTGACATTTTACAAGGCAGTAATGACATTTGTTGGTATTTACATGGCAGAAATGACATTTGCTGACATTTTACATGGCAGTAATGCCATTTGTTGGTACATTACATGGCAGTAATAACATTTGCTGACATTTTACATGGCAGTAATGACATTTGTTTGTATTTTACATTGCAGTAATAACATTTGTTGGTATTTTACATGGCAGTAATGACATTTGCTAACATTTTACATGGAAGAAATGAAATATTTGATAATATTTACATGACAGTAAGGACAAACATTATATCATGATATCTATATCCTACACCAAAAAGAAAATATCTAATAAAGTATTGTGAATCTAATTAATCTTGCTCCTATAATTTCATATCATGTAGCAATCTATGGCCTGGTATGCATCAGTAGTAGGGGTTTAGTACTTCAGCACAAGTACTTGCCACAATTTTTGCAATATCACTGGCAGTACTTGATTTTGATTAGTGCTGCATTACCAGAAGCTTTATTTTGGATGTAATTAAGTAGCAGTAGTAATAGTTTCATGTGTCCACAATTATATGCATAGACACACTTTTAAATGAAAAATACATATGAGCCACGTCACGACAAAACCAACATAATGGGTTTGCGACCAGCATGGATCCAGACCAGCCTGCGCATCCGCGCAGTCTGATCAGGATCCATGCTGATCGCTTACAAACCCTTTAACAATTAGAGAAACTAATAGCGAACAGCATGGATCCTGTTCAGACTGCGCGGATGCGTGGATCCATGCTGGTCTCAAACACATTATGTTGGTTTTGTCGTGACGCGGCTCATATAATAACATTGACAATATGATTTACAGTTGTAATACCATACATTTATCCACAAAATAAGCATTACTAGAAAAAATGAGTACAGTACCAGTAATGCGTGTCTGTCTATGGCACATCAAACATTTACATGATTATATTTATATTCAAGAAAAAAAAACAAAAAAAATAACAAAAAACAGAAACATACAAAAGTAATAATACATAATATTTTTTTAATATTTTCACTGGTAAATTGCTTGTTTTTTAAAGTTTTTTTTTCAAAGACATTTTAACAATTACTTAAAGCTGCATGTCTCCAGATGAGCCAAAATATTTCAAGAAAATTAATATTGATAAAAATGTACTAATATTTTAAGCAAGGTAAAAATATTCAAGATTCAAATTATATATTACATTAATATTGCAGTATTTTATTGCCATATTTCTATTTCATTAAAAGGAATTATTCTTGGATTGTAAGTGCCGATTGCAATATGTAAACAACTATTTTTGTTCTCTTTACAATAGTTTACTTTCAAAAATATTTCTAAAATTTTCATGAAAATGAACATGAATATGGAGGTGTGCAGCTTTAAGTGATTATTAGGAACTTAAAATAATCTATCAGTATAAATAGTTTATCAAAAGTAAAAAAAGGAAAAAACATATCAATATAAAACCTGTCAACAATAGATCTATTATCAAGTGATGAAAGCTTGATGGCTTACGAGCTAAACGGTAAATACTTAATATCTCATTATTCCCCTTTGATATAACATGTACCTATGCATATTTTTTTAACTTCCTTGATTTTCCTATACAAAAATGGATTCTGCAATTCTATCCATAATCGTATTAAGCTAATAAAATTATGTCATCCAGAAATAATGTTATATTTTGAGAAGTCTAGAACGCTAAGAAAATTATGTCATCAAATAATGTTATTTCTTTTTAGTGGTCTAGAACCAACTTTGCAATATAATACAAACCCAATTTTATGTGCTTTTTTAAAAATGTTTTCAGATCACTTAATATCAATCATTAATGACAAATGATAGGCTATGCTACTTAATAATTGAATGTTTGTAAATCAGTTATTAGGTTACGTTATTAGTCATTAAGGGGAGCAGTGGCCTAGTGGTTAAGGTGTCTGCCTCTCAGTTTTTTCTCTCCATTTTTTTAACTTCCAGCACTTGATATCTTAATGGACCTGTTCTTTTTGAAATCTACACAAAAAGGCATAACCATTTCTTGGAATATTTTCAAAATAAATACTAAACTAAAAAGCAAACAGTGTAGACCATGAACCATGTATGAACCAACAGATCTTACTCTGCAATAGACACATATTTTTTCACAGATTCTGGCTTTTTTCAACAGATTTAGGCATATTTTGTCGCCAACAGACAATTAAAATTTAACAGTATAATTAATCTATAAAGCAGAATGTCATTTAAATTATGACACAAATCAGCAGAATGCTGTTAAACAATGCTTTTTAGACACTTAAACTTAAATATGTTAAAAAAAGTGTCTCTTCATAGATTTTTTTAATATATAATCAGCACATGCATAAAAAGATATAAACCATTCAGAGCACTTTGATTCAGAGCACTTTGGTGATGGAGAAAAGGCACTTTCTTACAGATTGACACTTGTTTAATGAATTTTCTGCTGTTTTTATTCACTTGAGTTCTGATCACAGTTAAAAATATTGTCCGTAAATTGTAACTGATCCATCATTACTTAGACATGCAAATGCTTTTCACAAAGTATTAGTTCTTGCAGTACTTTGAGAAAACTTTATAGAAAGCCTCCATATTTGAATCGGCCAGAAACATTGCTTTTCCCAGATATTCAATGTCGCTATTACCCTGATTCCATACATCTAGGATACACTTAGCTCTTGTTGCCAAGTAAGGATAGTCTTCTCTACATTGTTGCAATTGTACCTCATCTAATCCAAGCTCAACTGCAAGTAACCAATACTCATGCCCAATTCCACTTGCGATCAAAGCAATTTCTTCATCGCTTGGTTTTCTTTTAAAATGAACTTCATCAAGTTTTTTCTGATCAATGCATGCACTTTCAAATTGATCAGCAACAAAAACGTTGTCAAACTGACAAATATCACAGTCTACAGCAAGTATGGCATTTCGTAACTGTCTAACTGGACCACAAGACCGGCTTTGCCATTTACAAAGCATATGATATATTCGTGTCGGAAGGTGAAATCTGTCATCATCTTCAATCTGATCTAATACAGCTCGTTCCAAACCTAATTCTTTCCACAGCTGAAAATATTTATTACCAATCGTCCGTGACACTCTTGCCAATTCTTTTGCTGTTGGTTGCCTGTCTAATGCTGCATTTGATATTTCTGTATTTTGCTGGTTTTGAATAGAAGTGAAACACCACATGCCAATAACTTCATCTTTCTTTGCTGTATGTAAATTATATTCACAAAATACTTCATCATGGGTAAAGAATTCTCTCATTCTTAATAAGCATGTATTGGCTTCAAATTCCTGAACACACAAGCATTGAATGTATTCTTCAAAAGGCAGAACTTCGCTGATCCTACTTTCTTTCGGGAGAATTCTAAGGATCTCAGTTAGATGCTGACTTAGAAATTTTCTAATTCTTTGTGGAATTGACTTATCTGCCTTTGAATAAAAGGAAACTCTTGCATATATAATGTTATCGTGAAACCAGATGCTAAGTACTTCTGCACGTGACACACGAAAGACTGCAAACCCATTAAATAATAGTGCACAATTCGATTTTGATACTATAGTCCATTGCCTAATACACACTGCAAGCAGTCTGTGAAAAACAGATGGTGGCATGAAGTTATTCGTGAAATGAAAACACAAAATCGGAGTTTTTTCCTTACAATCTGTTGGACTGACCAAGTTGGATATCTCAGTATGCTCTGGCCTCAATTTCAACAAGGATGGAACAATATAGAAATTGACAGGTGCAGCAACTTTCTTATCAGATATAGATGTTTGTATGTCCACAGGCATCTCCATTTCCCAACCAACTTTATTTCCTGGCTTGTTCTCCTGACCTTGATATATGGTTGCATCAATGGGTTTGGCAATCATGTCTAAATGTTCCATGTACTCAATCACTTGGTTTTTGTAATCCCGAAAGTACTTGTTTTCCTCAGTATGATCCATTATTTCATTTATCAATTCTTGTGTTAAAATAGCTTTTTTGTCATAATTGTCCCAATCTTTCAACTGTCTTGGATCAATATCCTTTACCTTCACGTGTCTTGGATCTTTATCCTTCACATGCGTTATGAAACACCTGAAAGCATCAATTATCCACTGCGGAGACAAAATTACATAATTCTTTAGCATATCTGTTTCGTAATACAAAATGTTGCCCAATTGATGCTGAAACTTAAGAAAAAATCTTAGCTCTGTCTCATCTTGAATTGGAATTTCACTTTTTTCTTTATCAACATGCTTCACCTCATCGAAGGTGATGATTTCTTTGCCTTCTGACTTAAGTCCTAGAAATGATCTCTCTAGTGTAATCCACCTTGCTGGTCTCCATTCTCCCCAATACCTCTGTTTCTGTGCCAGCATCACCACTTCTTCTCGTATTTTTCGAAAATCTTCATGCGTATCAAGATTATTAATTAGGAATTTTTTCGGATGAACATGCTTGAGTGCAGGGGAATCAATTAATGACTTTAACGCTTCATTAAAGTACTCTTCTTTCTGTACTTCTTTCTCCTCCTCTGTTCCATTCAGTTTGTCTTTCTTTGTTCCAACTAAAATCACCGATGGTTTAATTTCTGCTTCAAACTGAGTGCTGTACATATGAATGGAGTTTAACCAAAACTTGAAAGCCTCTAGACAAGTAAAATCTTTTGGAATGAAGCCCGACAATGGGAAATCTGAGGTTTCCTTTACCACATCATTTAGAGGTGTACTTATATCCATCATTAGGAGGTAAATAGATCTTGAATTCAGGAAGAAATGATGAGTTGAGTAGTAAATATATTGACCTGCAAAGTCCCATATGGATATTGTTGAATCAATGGGGTTGTAAGGCTTAAAATTTGATTTAAATAAATCAGTTGCAAATGCATGCAGCCCAGGGTCATCATCCTTAGCCTTAGTTAATTTCATTTTTAGTTCTTCAGTATCTGTATTAATCTCTTCAGTTGATGGTGACTCAGTATCCGTACTTTTGTCTTCTTCTTGCACTTTAGCTGTTCTTTTATATAAGATTTCTTCATTATTGGCATCTTCATCTGGCAAGGGTACATCTTCGTTGGGATATCTTTCATAACCAGCATCAACATCGTCAACAGGAGCATCAGATGAACTAGAACTAGGGTTCTGCATTACTTCCAAAAGCTTATCACATGTATTATCATCAAAGATGTTTTCAATCCATTCTCCATCTCTTATATTGCAATGTGTAACATCTATTCCTACTGTACTTTTCGGCGGCTTTTTTTCAGTGCTGTCCTCTCTGTGCACAAGATTTTCAACAAGGGACGTTTTACCAACACCAAACATCCCAACTACCATTAACCTTATACTTCTCACCTTTTGCCGACCAAACTTTAAAACATGCTTGTACTTTTCAATGAATTCATCATCCATCAGCGTTACCTCTTGTGGAATGTATACTCCATCAACGGTGTCAGGATCGTCAACTGATGTTCCTGGATACATTTCTTGTAAGACTTTACTACTTAATTCTGGACCCCGCCACATCTTTATGAAAATCCTTACAATTTTCTCCAACATTTCTGCAGAAACTTTTGTACTACTAACTACAAGTGCAACAAATTCTCTGATCAATTGTGTAAACACATTGTATGGCAACGATGCAACTGACCCAGTTGCCACCTCTCTTATTATGCTTTTTATTCGTGGATCATTATCAAGCTCGTCACCTACTTCTTTTAGAATGTTAATAATACGTCTTTCTTCATCACTTAACTGTAGTCCGCCATCAAATGAATCAGCCATCTTGTTATCTATGCAATTCTGAAATATTAAAGAAAAAAAAACCAAAATGTGATATATATTATATACATTTACTGAATAATGTTAAGATTTCTCCATTAATCTATCTAATGTCTAAAAGCAGAATTCACTTCATCAAAGTAATTTTCGTATCCAAATGATTTCATTTTTTAAATGATCTTTAACTTCAAAGAGGGATGCCATAAGGATACATTGAAGCACAAAATGTATTACATTATTCAAAAACATGAGCACAATAAAGGCCACGCAAAAACATGCATAATTATCTTTCAATTGGAGAAATGACAAATCCATGAAATTTGTCTGAAAAATGTTTTATTTAAGTTTAATATCCTTTTGATATTAAGTGACCCCAATGGTGAGGCATTTTTTTACTCTCGGGGGAAATGGTTGTTATAACTTTTATATGCCAAATATCTAAATTCTTTGCGATATCACAGTCTTCCACATGAAGATGATTTAAAGGTGTTTTTGATTAAATATAAAACTATGTGAACCCTGGAATGAGGTAAGTATTGACCCACAAGTCATGACTGTAAGCCTTGTAGAGGCTACGGAGATGATGCTTAATACTGGATATATTATCTCTGAGCATTTTAGTTTAGAAGAAGATTTTGATTCTCAGGTAGTCTGTGATCTAGGCGTCATTTTGAATATATTTTACTTTTGTAGAAGTTAATAAGGCAATGCTATATAAGCCAAATATCTATGCACGGGTCATTGTAATTTCACAGAAAAAGACTTAAATGTGTTTTCCTACATTAGGCTATATAAACTAAAGGACCTTAGGGGGAGGACTAAATTTGACCATGGGGCATGATTTATACATGTTTGTAGTGAAGTGTAGTTTCCAACTCAATGGTTGTTATGGAAAAACTGGTTGCCCCTTAGGAAAAGGAAAGGCATTTAACTTGTAGTTATATTGCAGTTATTTAGCAGTTTTTTCAAATAAATGCCTTTTTTACAATTTTTTGCCCTTCATCTTAATTTGTAGGATTCCATTTAAACAGCAGTTCTTAAAAAACTGGTAAAAACTTGTTGTTAAAAAACTTGTGTCCAGCATTTTTTACCAGTTTTTCAACATTTAAAAATAAATGGTGATGTTAAACAATACTTACATTACCATTTTTTACAAGTTATTTTCTTGAACCATTTTTTTAAGCTAAAAGATTGTGACAGAAGCTGCAGTTTTTACAAGTTTTATTTAAATGCTTTTAGGAAAATATAATTCATGCACACTAATATTCACTTAATACCTTGTAGTGCATCATAGCAATATTGTATGTGTACAACTCACCGGTGTGGGGTGTAAATTTACTTTCAAACTGAGTCATGCTGTCCAGAGGCAGCAAAAGAAATCACATGAACAAACCCTGGTGTCTTCTCTTTTTTTTTTTTTAAAACTCATGAGCCAGATAGTTTGTCTGTACAATGTGAAGGTTGTAGTTTACAATGCCTGCGACAGAGTTGAAACTCAGACACTAGCTGTTGTATTTTATAAATTATACTGCTTGCGGTAACGTAATTTCAAACCAAAACAAAATTTCTACAGCATTCTTTTCTTCAATTTTCTTTCAAAAGGAAGCTTTGCAAAATACTATACAATAGTATATAACTTTGATTTCAAAATTACTGTTAGCTGTTTTATATAGTACCGCGAAAATAGGAACTTTCACTGTACATAAATGAAAGAAAGCATGTTTGACAGACAAGTTAAATGGTATGAAAAGACATTATGAAGTCCTACATATTATTATTATTATTGTAAAACAAAATTTTTTTTTTTTTTGTGTCTTGAGAGTGACTCACTCTTTCCAAACTAGAAATGTGTCATCATGCCACGGATGCCCCCGCATGCAGCCAAAATTTCAGATGTTATAATATTTAGTTCCAAATTTGTTTGCACAAATTATTTTTTTCATTTTAAGTTCAAAGCCCTTAAAACTTTTCAATGTTAACACAAACCATTTTCATACAATGTTCAAGGCACTGAAATTATTCAGTCTAAACCTTTTGAAAATTGCATATTTCATATTTGTAGCCAAAATAATGGCTACATTCATTTCAGTGCTGAAACTGAAAGTTCAAAATTTTTCCAACATTCAAGAAAGAAAAGTTTGTCCAAAATCATTGAACCACGACCAAATTCAAACTTAAACTGCTTATTCCTAAGATGTATCTATATTATTTTCAAAGTGAAAGGGACATAACTCTGCCAAAAATCATCGAACCATGACCAAATTTAAACTTGACCTGCCCATTCCTTTGACATATCCATATGTCAAATTTGAGTAGTTGGGTAGATAATGAACAGAAACTGTAAATTTCATATTATTTTCAAAGTAAAAGGGGCATTACTCTGCCAAAAATCATTGAACCATGACCAAATTCCAACTTGGCCTGGGCATTCCAAAAATATATCCATATGTCAAATTTGAGTTGAATGTGTTGTACCGTTGGGGAGATAATAAACAGAAACTGAAAATTTCATATTATTTTCAAAGTGAAAGGGGCATAACTCTGCCAAAAATCATTGAACCATGACCAACTTTGAACTTGACCTGCGCATTCCTGTGACTTATCCATATATCAAGTTTGAGTTAAAAGTGTTGTACCATTGGGGAGATAATGACCGGAAACTGAAATTTCATATTATTTTCAAAGTGAAAGGGGCATAACTCTGCCAAAAATCATTGAACCATGACCAACTTTGAACTTGACCTGCGCATTCCTGTGACTTATCCATATATCAAGTTTGAGTTAAAAGTGTTGTACCATTGGGGAGATAATGACCGGAAACTGAAATTTCATATTATTTTCAAAGTAAAAGGGGCATAACTCTGACAAAAATCATTGAACCATGACCAAATTCGAACTTGACCTGTATTTTCTCATGACATATGCATATGTCAAGTTTGAGTTGAATGTGTTGTACCATTGGCGAGATAATGAACGGAAACTGAAAATTTCATATTATTTTCAAAGTAAAAGGGGCATAACTCTGCCAAAAATCATCAAACCATGACCAAATTCGAACTTGACCTGTATTTTCTCATGACATATCCATATGTCAAGTTTGAGTTGAATGTGTTGTACCATTGGCGAGATAATGAACGGAAACTGAAAATTTCATATAATTTTCAAAGTAAAAGGGGCATAACTCTGCCAAAAATCATCGAACCATGACCAAATTCGAACTTGACCTGTATTTTCTCATGACATATCCATATGTCAAGTTTGAGTTGAATGTGTTGTACCATTGGCGAGATAATGAACGGAAACTGAAAATTTCATATTATTTTAAAGTAAAAGGGGCATAACTCTGCCAAAAATCATCGAACCATGACCAAATTCGAACTTGACCTGTATTTTCTCATGACATATCCATATGTCAAATTTGAGTTGAATGTGTGCAACCGTTACTAAGATAATGAACGGAAACTGATGATGACGGAATGACAGAATGACGGAATGACGGAATGACGGAAGGACGGAATGACGGAAGGACGGAAGGACGGAACAGGGTAACACTATATGCCCCGGCCATTACATGGCGGGGGCATAAAAAACAATAGGGAGTAAAGACACTAGCTCTAAAATTTATCTGTTGCTCTATAGTTAAATCTAGTCAGCATTAGACATCAGCATGTATTAATATAAAATTTCTGATATTTGGAGGATCAGATTGAGAATAGATATCTTATTTATGGCAATTGTTCAAAAATAATAATGTCCATAATAATTAATGATTATGTCAATAATAATTATAATAAAATTGAAAATAAAAATGTTTTCTTTCTTTTTTTAAATAAAACAACATACTGATCTAGATCTATTTAATAATATTTTTCTAGGATTACTTTTATTATTATTATTTAATCGAAATTTAATAATCAATTGACCTTAATGGTCAACCTGCATTATGACAATTTTATCATTGGCCATTTAATTAATAGATATTAAATAGGAATATATAACCCAAAAAGAAATAACAAATGTTCAGGCACTCCAAGTAAATCAAAGACGTATTATAAACCTTAAGAAAATAATCAATAATTGACATCTGAAGTATGTAATTTTTATCAGTTGTGTAGAGCTATTTTTAGCGCTGTCAAATTGCATCCACTGATGTCATGCTTCAGTGCACAGGCTGTGTGTATAAACCACTTTATGCACGGCTTATATATATACTGCCTGTTGACATTTTTATTGATTGTGATTTGAACATATGTAGATCTAATTAGGGGTGGATTTAAGGTGATTATTATTGCATAGTTGAAAATCCCATGTGGCAAATAGACTCTTGTGCAGATTTTTTCACGTGTCAAATTTGTGCATTTCCAAATTTTCACGAGTCAAAACCCGAATCTCCGCAATGCTGACGGAAATTAACGATGATAACTTAGTCTTTACTTAACCAGCGAACCTTTACGATTATACTCGAGCAATTTCCGTATATTTTTACGCTAACCGAGACGAGCATAATTTCATGACGTATTTAATACGTATACTGATGACGTAGCAACACAATTGTTTTGGAAACTACTGTAGCTTTGTATGAAATTCAAGCGCTTGTTGGGCTAAATAATAGATTTGTGAAATAAAATTCAACGATATAATTGAAATTATTCAGTCATTGTATTGACGGCAAAAACAACGGAACTACACGAACTTTTGCGAATCAAGCACATGTTACTGACGTAGTACACAGGTTTATTACGTAGAACACAGGTTTATTGTGCGTGCAATATTCAAAGACGGCAGACACTTCGTCTCATATCGACAGTGAACTGATATCGTCTCCCCAATAAAGACATACAACGAGGAAGGTGAAATAGCCCAAGCAAATTATCAGAAGAAGACCTTCAAAGCTGCAATCGGTGAAATTCACTGTGAGTATTATCATAAATGCACTGTTTTTTTTCCCAAACAGAGACGGCGTGTTTATGACCTCTAGAAAAAATGAAGAGTCTAGAGATTATTTTAATGACCTTTCTTCA